ATAACCCAAAAAGGAGACCGACTCCTGGAAAAACAGACATTTCTCTGCCTTGACATACAGGTCGTGCTCCAACAGCCTCCTCAACACTCGGCGCACCAGCGCTACATGCTCGGCTCGGGTAGACGAGTACACTAGAATGTCGTCAATGTACACGACCACACCTTGCCCCTGCATGTCCCGGAAGATCTCATCCACAAAGGATTGGAAGACTGAAGGAGCATTCATCAACCCGTATGGCATGACGAGATACTCGTAATGACCCGAGGTGGTACTAAATGCTGTCTTCCATTCATCGCCCTCCCTAATGCGCACCAAGTTGTAGGCGCTCCTGAGATCCAGTTTTGTGAAGAAACGCACTCCGTGTAATGATTCCGTCATAGTCGCAATCAGAGGGAGTGGATAACTGTATTTCACAGTGATCTGATTGAGACTACGGTAATCAATACACGGGCGCAATCCTCCATCCTTTTTCTTCACAAAAAAGAAGCTCGAGGACGCAGGGGAAGTGGAGGGCCGTATGTATCCTTGTCTCAGAGACTCGGCTATGTATGTCTCCATAGCCCCCTTCTCCTCTTGAGACAGAGGATACACATGGCTCCGCGGAAGCGCTGCTCCTGCCTGGAGGTCTATCGCACAATCCCCCTGTCTATGAGGTGGCAATCGCGTCGCCCTCGCCTTGCTAAACACGAGTGCTACCTCCTCATACTCAGGGGGAATGTGCATTGCGGGCACTTGGTTCGGACTCTCCACAGAGGTCGCCCCCACGGAAACACCCAGACATCGCCCCACACACTGGGCAGACCACTCCTTAAGAGCCCTCTGTTGCCACGAAATAGAGGGATTATGGGTAATCAACCAGGGAAGCCCCAGCACCACTGGATACGCAGGAGAGTCGATCAGATATAACTGAATAGTTTCCTCATGACCCCCCTGCGTACTCATCCTAAGTGGCGCTGTGACCTCCCTAATCAACCCCGATCCCAACGTGCGGCTATCTAGTGCATGTACAGGGAAGGGAACATTGACAGGAAGGAGGGGAATCCCTAACTTAACACAAAAATTCCGATCAACAAAATTCCCAGCTGCGCCTGAATCTACTAGCGCCTTATGCTGGGAAGGAGGTGCAACCTGTGGAAAACTGACAGGTATACATAGGTGCACAACAGAGAGCTCTGGGTAAGTGGGGCGCCTACTCACCTGGAAGGACTCCCCAGTGCGTGGCCTGTTGTCTCGTCCCCCTGGAGACCCTCCCCAGCACCTAGCCGCAGTGTGCCCTCCACGGCCCCAGTTGGTGCAGGGGACGGCCCCCCTCGGGCTCCTTCTCCTCCTCTCTATAGCGCCAGCACCCCCGAGCTCCATAGGGCTCGGCTCGGAGGTGCTGGAGGGTGGAATGGATGGCCCCCACTCGGGACGTCCGCGGGTGACCAGCAGGGTGTCGAGACGGATGGACATGTCCACCAACTGGTCGAACGAGAGGTTGGTGTCCCTGCAGGCCAGCTCTCGGCGGACGTCCTCCCGCAGACTGCTTCGATAGTGGTCGATGAGGGCCCGCTCATTCCACCCTGCATCCGCCGCTAGAGTCCGGAATTCCAAGGCGAACTCCTGGGCGCTCCTCTTCCCCTGTCGGAGGTAGAATAGACGCTCCCCCGCCGCTTTCCCCTCAGGTGGATGGTCGAACACGGCCCTGAAGCGGCGGGAGAACTCCGCGTAGGTGATAGTGGCGGCGTCTATCCCCCTCCATTCGGCGTTGGCCCACTCCAACGCTTTGCCGGTGAGACAGGAGATGAGGGCGGAAACGCTCTCGTGTCCCGAGGGCGCCGGGTGTACGGTGGCCAGGTAGAGTTCCACCTGCAGGAGGAACCCCTGACACCCGGCAGCGGTGCCATCATACGCCCTCGGGAGCGAGAGCCGAATCCCACTGGGTTCCGGAGCTTGGATGGGCGGACTGGCCGATGGTGGTGGTGAGGTAAGTGGAGGTGTGGGTACCCCTCTGTTCTCCCATCGTTGCAGAGTATTTATCACGTCCTGCAGGGCGGTCCCGATTTGATGGATCCTGTCGTCCTGCCCGCGGACGCGCTCCTCCAACGACTCGGGCGCTGCTGCTGCTCCTGCTGATTCCATAGTTGGTGTGTAATTCTGTCAGAATGCTGAATGTGGATGTGGTGCAGGAATCAGGCGCAGGACACAGAAGCTTCGTCCAACAGACTTTAGTTGATGACAACGAAATACAAACGGGCCTCAAAAGAGCCCGGAGGCGAGCGATTACGCACACTGTGCGTTAACACCAAAATACAAGAAGCGCGCACACAAGTGCGAAAACTCTCCAAACAATGGAGCAAAACAATCACAGCACCTGCTGACAGGCGGAACAATTACACACAACACACGACTAACAAAACGAGGACTTATAGGACACATAATTAACACTAAACGGAAACAGGTGTACAAATAAGACAAAACCAAACAAACATCGAAAACATACTACGGTGGCAGCTAGTACTCCGGGGACGACGACCGCCGAAGCCTGCCCGAGCAAGGAGGAGGAGTAGCCTCGGCCGAAACCGTGACATTCCTGATGAACTCAGTCACTGTGTCCGTGTATACGTCAATGTTATTCTCAGAGGTTACCCGGAACATATCCCAGTCTGCATGATCAAAACAATCTTGAAGCATGGATTCCGATTGGTCAGACCAGCATTGAATAGACCTTAGCACGGGTACTTCCTGTTTGAGTTTCTGCCTATAGGAAGGGAGGAGCAAAATAGAGTCATGATCTGATTTGCCAAAGGGAGGGTGGGGGAGGGCCTTGTAGGCATCCCGGAAGTGGGAGTAGCAGTGGTCGAGGGTTCTACCACAGCGAGTACTACAGTCAATGTGTTGATAGAACTTCGGTAGCATTTTCCTCAAATTTGCTTTGTTAAAATCCCCAGCTACAATAAATGCGGCCTCAGGATATGTGGTTTCCAGTTCGCAAAAAGTCCAGTGTAGTTCTTTGAGGGCTGTTGTGGTATCGGCTTGAGGGGGAATATACACGGCTGTGACTATAACCGAAGAGAATTCTCTTGAGAGGTAATACGGTCTGCATTTGATTGTGAGGTTTTCTTGGTCGGGTGAACAAAAGGACTTGAGTTTCTGTATGTTATCACAATCACACCATGAGTAGTTAATCATGAAACATAAACCACCGCCTTTCTTCTTCCCGGAGAGTTCTTTATTCCTGTCTGCGCGATGTACTGAGAACCCAGCTGGCTGTATGGACGGGGACAGTATATCCCGAGAGAGCCCTGATTCCGTGAAACAGAGTTTATTACAGTCCCTGATGTCTCTCTGGAACGAGATCCTCGCCCTGAGCTCGTCTACTTTATTGTCCAGAGACTGAATATTAGCAAGTAATATATACTCGGAAGCACGCCTCCTGAGTCGGACTAAAAGTCCACTCCGAATACCTATTCTCCGCTGGCGGCGTCTTGGAGCAGCCTCTGGGATAAGTTCAATTGCCCTGGTGGTACGAACAAAGGATCCAATTTGGGAAAGTCGTATTCCTAGTCGTAATGCTGGTGAGTTACCACCACTCTGATATCCAAAAGTTATTTCCGGCTGTATGTAATAACACAAAAAACGTTCTGGGCTAATAATGTAAGAAATAACACACAAAAATAAAAAATACTGCGAAGTTGCTTAGGCGCTAGAAGCAGAGCTTCCATGTCTGTCGGCGCCATCTTACCAACACTGGTTACCAACGTAATTAGAGCAGTAAAAATAAATGTTTTGTCATACCCGTGGTATACTGTTTGATATACCATGGCTGTCAGCCAATCAGCATTCAGGGCTTGAACCACCCAGCTGATAATATAACAATATTTGCACATTAAAAGCGGTTCCACCGACATTTCTAGCATAATCAATTTTACTGACACAAAAAGATCCCACCCTGTCTAGCATATTTTGTTTTGTCAACATTTGAAAAGTTTACAGAAAAAAATTATGTTTCCATCATGGCATTATCGACATTTACGATACTTTACTTGCATAAAAAGGTTGGATGGAAATCTGGTTACTAACCACGTTTCCATCCACAGTTTTTATGCAAGCAAAGTCATACCTTGTAAAAAAAAAAGACAGCTGTGATGGAAACAGGGATTTTCGGTACAATTGTATAAATGCCCAACAGATCATTTGTTCGTTTGACATGGTGGGATCTTTTTGTGTCGGTAAAATTAATAATGTGAGAAATTGCAGTGGAAATGCTTTTATGCGCAAATGTTGACATAATAACTATCATATCGACGTAAACTTGGAGTCACGCGATGATATGGTGTGTGGTCCTCCCACTACCACTTGGGAAGCCATGCAGTTTACCAGGCTACAGATGAAGTAAATCATTATGAACTTCACACGGTGTTGAAAGTGCACTGTGATGAGGTTGATGCTACTTTCCGATAAATATCGAGGGTCTTATTCTGGTGACATGATGATCGATACTTGTCTGCCGTTTGAAAAAAAACTAATATACTCGCTCTTATCCATAATAATCTCATCATGTAGACTAGCCTAGCCGCACAGACTTGTCGTCACTAGTTACCACAGCTACAAAGCCAGAAACCCCGCCCATTTCTACAATTTATCTTAAAATGTGATTTAAAACTTAACCTTAACCCTAACATTAACCACACTGCTAACCTTATGCCTATCCCTTACCTTAAATTAAGACCAAACAGCAAATGTTTGTTTTAATGAATTTCTACAATATAACCAATTTCGACTTTGTGACTGTGGTAACTAGTGGAAACCGCACAGCCATCCCGAGCTTTTGGCTGGAGCGCATGTGAGAAGACCAGAGGAGGCACATTTTCTATTTAGTGACAAAACCATCTGTAAAGTTAAAAAATGTCGATGGACATTTTTATTCGGTAGGCCTACATGAAAACTTACGTGAGAAAGTACATTTTGTGTGCAGTACATCATCAAGCACATATTTTTTTTATCTGCAACAAGTTAGTTTGGTGGAAACATACCACTGGTGGAAATGAAAATGTGTTGCCAATTGGTTGGAAAACTATCTGGTAACATGCAAATATATTAAAATGGGGAAGGCATTTTGTTTGTGTTGTCATCCACCCTGGATGTTTCATAATACTGAGATCATCTGATATAACCCTTACTCCATTTGTGCAATAATGTAGGCTACAGTAAAATGTTAATCTTCGGTGGAGGCCTATGGTCAAATGTTTCAACATTGTCTGGTTTTTGCATGAATCATCACACAACTTTGAATAAGCTAAATAAAAGAGGACACAAAAAGTAATACATTGACACAGCTTTAAACATGTAAGAAGATTTTTAAACTTTACAAATCTTCCTATTGTTTTACAGTAACAAAGTACAAGAGGGCCCCCTCTAAAGATAATACTTTGGCCCCCACCTATTGGTCATTAAGCGACTGTGCATCCATTGGAGCTCTCCATCAGGATATCACACAGGTTGAGGTTCCAGTCAGTGTGCTGTGGATGCTGTCTGGCTGCTTTGCTGTCTCAGATGACCCTTCCAACTCTAGGTCAAGAGACATGCCCATATTCTCCACCCCTTCCTCAGCAACGATCTCTTCTTCGTCTATCTCACTCTGAAACCTTCCATGTCTGATGTCCATCTCCCCCCCTCCTGCTTTGAGAATGGACTCTTCCTCCTGGCTCAGATGGGTTGCTGTAATCTGATGTGCCTCCAGTAGTGCATCCGATGAATAATTCTCGATTCCTGAGTGAAAAGCACACACCCAAACACAACATCATGATACAGGAAACACACAACACATGATACATCTCACACAGGTGTGTGTACAAGTGTGTACTTACCTGTAGTGTCAACCTGGTCATCTTGCAGGTGTTCTGTGTCCTCACTCTTGTCCATCCCAGCTAGCCTCTGATGAAGATGAATCCTATCTCTCACCTCATACACACACACGCCCAAACACACACACGCCCACGAACACACGCAGAATATACTAGAATGTACCGCGACTACTGTCTCTGAATAAATGTTTTCGACATGTACGAGAACAGTTTACACAGGTTTTAAAAATATTCACTACACTGTCTCACTATGTGAATCATACCATGGTCTCCTGTTCTAGGGGCCATTCCACTCTCACCTTTTGAGGGTTGATAAATCTGCCCCAGATGAGCCTCAGGTAACTGAAGAGGAGGAGGACACTGAGGAAGGAGAAGTTACTGGCCACACCCATTACTGCTGACAGTGTCGGGAAGTTGTACAGGAAGTACCTGATGAGGAGAGAGAGGAGCAGTGGTATAAAGTACTTAAGTAAAAATACTTTAAAGTACTATTGTGATGAGGTGGTGTTGAAGGAGTCAGGCGCAGGAGGGTAAATCACAGAATAACAGGCTTTAATCCGCAAAATACAGGTTTACGCAGAAATGCGTCAAACACACTCCAGGGCACAAAACAGGCGTACTGTAAAATACAAGGCACACAGGAAATACTCCTGTCGATATAAAATACCCGAGCTCCACCAAGCTTCACTAACCTCCACAATAAACAATCACCCACACAGACAAGGAAGCAGAGGGAACACTTATACAATGACTAATGAGGGAATAAGGACCAGGTGTGGTGTGATTGAAGACAAGACAAATGGAGTGATGATAAATGGATCGGCAGTAGCTAGTAAGCCGGTGACGCCGAACGACGAAACCTGCCCGAACAAGGAGGGGAGGCAGCTTCTGCGGAAGTCGTGACAGTACCCCCCCCACCTTGACGCGCGGCTCCAGCAGCGTGCCGACCCTGGCCTCGGGGGCGGCCAGGAGGACGCGGAGCAGGGCGAGCCGGATGGCGACGGTGGAAATCCCGTAACATGGAGGGATCGAGGATATCCCTCACCGGGACCCAGCACCGTTCCTCCGGACCAAACCCCTCCCACTCCATGAGGTACTGAAGGCCCCCCACCCGACGCCTCAAATCCAGGATGGAACGGACAGAGTACGCCGGGGCCCCCTCGATGTCCAGAGGAGGTGGAGGGACCTCCCGCACCTCAGACTCCTGGAGCGGACCAGCTACCACCGGCCTGAGGAGAGACACATGAAACAAGGGGTTAATACGGTAATCAGGGGGAAGTAATAACCTATAAGTGACCTCGTTGACTCTCCTCAGGACTTTGAACGGCCCCACAAACCGCAGGTTCAGCTTCCGGCAGGGCAGGCGGAGGGGCAGATTCCGGGTCGAGAGCCAGACCCGATCCCCCGGTACAAAGACGGGGGCCTCACTGCGGTGGCAGTCAGCGTTGGCCTTCTGACGATGCACGGCGCGTTGGAGGTGAACGTGGGCAGCATCCCACGTCTCCTCTGCTCGCCGAAAAAAGTCTGGCTCTGGTGCCATGGTGCCAGAACCGGTTGGTAACCTAGAACACACTGGAAAGGCGTTAGGTTAGTGGAGGAGTGGCGGAGAGAGTTCTGGGCATATTCTGCCCATGGCAAGAACACTGACCACTCCCCCGGCCGGTCCTGGCAGTAGGACCGCAGGAACCTACCCACGTCCTGATTTACCTGTTCCACCTGCCCATTACTCTCGGGGTGGAACCCAGAGGTCAGGCTGACCGAGACCACCAGACGTTCCATGAATGCCTTCCAGACCTTGGACGTGAACTGGGGACCTCGGTCAGACACTATATCCTCTGGTACCCCGTAGTGCCGGAAGACGTGTGTAAACAGGGCCTCTGCAGTTTGCAGAGCCGTGGGGAGACCGGGCAGAGCAAGGAGGCGGCAGGCTTTAGAAAAGCGGTCCACAACGACCAGGATGTTGGTGTTATCTTGGGAGAGGGGAAGATCAGTTAGAAAATCAACACTTAGGTGAGACCATGGTCGTTGTGGAACTGGTAAAGGTTGTAACTTACCAGCTGGGAGGTGCCTAGGTGCCTTACTCTGGGCGCACACTGAGCAGAAGGAGATATACACCCTCACGTCCTTAGCCAAGGTAGGCCACCAGTATTTTCCGGTCAGGCAGCGCACTGTACGGCCGATACCTGGGTGACCAGAGGAGGGTGACGTGTGTGCCCAGTAGATCAGACGATCACGGATAAGAGCAGGCACGTACTGTAGCCCATCTGGACACTGAGGTGGAGAGGGATCCGTGCGTAATGCCTGCTCTATATCCGCGTCCATCGCCCATACTACCGGCGCCACATTGCAGGAGGCCGGCAGTATGGGGGTGTTGTCGCTGGGCCTCTTCTCTGTGTCATACAGCCGGGACAGTGCGTCTGCCTTCACGTTCTTCGTACCCGGGATGTATGATAGAGTGAAGTCAAACCGGGTGAAGAATAGGGCCCACCTGGCCTGGTGAGGATTCAGCCTCCTCGCTGCCCGGATGTACTCCAGGTTACGGTGGTCCGTCCAGACGAGGAAAGGCTGTTTTGCCCCCTCAAGCCAATGCCTACACACGGTCAAGGCTCGGACAACAGCCAACAGCTCCCGATCACCAACGCCGTAGTTCTGCTCCGCCGGGCTGAGCTTTTTCGAGAAGAACGCACAGGGGCGGAGCTCGGGTGGTGTACCCGAGCGTTGAGACAGGACAGCTCCTATCCCAACCTCGGACGCATCCACCTCCACTACGAACGGTAGTGATGAATATGGGTGGGCCAGTACTGGGGCTGAGGTGAACAGACCCCACAGTTTGCTATAGGCCAGGTCAGCCTCAGCAGACCAGCGGAGCCGGGACGGCCCACCCTTCAACAGGGAGGTAATGGGAGCTGCGACCTTGCCAAAGCCCCGGATAAACCTCTGATAGTAGTTGGCAAAGCCAAGGAATCGCTGCACCTCCTTAACCGTGGTTGGAGTCGGCCAATTACGCACGGCTGAAATGCGATCTCCCTCCATCTCCACACCTGAGGTGGAAATGCAGTATCCAAGGAAGGAGACAGACTGCTGGAAAAACATACACTTCTCTGCCTTAGCATAAAGGCCATTTTCCAACAGTCGGACCAGCACCTTGCGAACCAGGGACACATGCTCGGCGCGCGTAGTGGAATACACCAGAATGTCATCGATGTAGACCACTACACCGCGACCAAGCATGTCCCGAAACACCTCGTTCACAAAGGACTGGAAAACTGAGGGAGCATTCATCAAACCATAGGGCATCACCAGGTATTCATAATGCCCCGTGGTTGTGCTGAATGCTGTCTTCCACTCATCTCCCTCTCAGATACGCACCAGGTTGTACGCACTCCTGAGATCTAATTTGGTGAAGAAGTGCGCCCCATGCATTGATTCAATCACTGAAGGAATGAGGGGGAGAGGATAACTAAATCTTATCGTCTCCCTGTTCAGTGGTCGATAATCAATGCACGGGCGCAGACCTCCGTCCTTCTTCTTCACAAAGAAGAAACTCGAGGAGGCGGGTGAATTGGAGGGACGTATATACCCCTGGCGCAGGGATATGTTTCCATAGCCACCGTTTCAGCCTGTGACGGGGGTATATATGACTCCTGGGAGGTACAGCGTCTACCCAGAGGTTTATCGCGCAATCCCCCGCCCGATGAGGTGGTAATTTAGTCGCCTGCGTTTTAGAGAACGTTTGCGCCGGATCGAGGTATTCAGGGGGAATGCGCACGGTGGAGGTACTGTCTGGACTTTCCACCGTGGTTGCACCAACGGAAAAACACCTAGACACCTACCCTGACATTCTCGCGACCACCCCGTGAGAACCCTCTGCGGCCATGAGAAGGTGGGGTTGTGGAGTGCTAGCCAAGGGAGACCTAATACCACAGGGAAAGCAGGAGACTCAATAATGGTAAAAGTAACCCGCTCACAATGAGTCTCCTGGGTAATCATGGTGACTGGTGCAGTAACTTCCTTAACCAACCCGGACCATAATGGTCGACTATCAAGTGCTCTGATGGGGCGTGGAATGGATAGGGGAATCAATGGAATGCCTATACGGTGTGCGAATGCCCTGTCCATAAAGTTCCCAGCTGCGCCTGAATCGACTAGCGCCTTACACTGGGGAACTACCATGTGCTCAGGAAAGGAGATGTGTATTTTACAGTACGCAGCAGAGGGCTCTGAACGAGTGTGGGTGTTCGATACCTGCGAGAGTGCCCTGCCTGCCGCCTCTAAACCCAGAAAAGCGTTGACGAAAACGTGTGGTGAAATGTCCCTTCGCGCCACCAGTGTGGCACTGGCGCTGTCGTCCTCCGCTCTCTCGGCTAGCGGTTCCACCCATCTCCATCAGTTCTGGATCCGAGTCGGCCGGGATGGAAACGGGTAGACCTCCTCCAGGACGTCCTCTGGTTGCCAGCAGGTTGTCCAAACGAATGGCCATGTCCACCAGTTGCGAGAAGGACAACATGGTGTCACGGCAGGCTAGCTCCCGTCGGACATCCTCTCGCAGATGGCACCGGAAATGGTCGATCAGGGCCCGCTCGTTCCACCCGGACCCAGCTGCCAGAGTTCGAAACTCCAATGCGAAGTCCTGCGCAGTCCTCGTCCCCTGCCTCAGGTGGACCAGCCGCTTGCCCGCCTCTCGACCCTCGGGCGGGTGATCGAAGACCGCCCTGAAGAGGCGAGCAAACTCCCTGTAGTTCTCCAACGCGGCTCCTCCTTCGTTCCACACCGCGTTGGCCCACTCCAGGGCTTTCCCCGAGAGGCAGGAGACGAGGGCGGACACCTTCTCCCGCTCCGATGGGACCGGCCGGAAGCTGCAGAAGTAGAGCTCCAGTTGGAGAAGGAATCCTTGGCACAGCGCCGCTGTCCCGTCGAACTTCCGTGTTCGGGATATCTGGATCCCTCCGGGTGCTGGGGTGTAGGTGGCGGGATCCGGTTGGCCAGCTGGTCTCGAGGGATCGGGCTCTCTCCTCTCCAGGCGTTGGACGACCTGAAGAACCCGATCTATCGCTTCACCCAAGCTGGCTAGCATAGTTGAATGCTCCTGGACCCGTTCCACTCCATAGCGGGTGGGTGATTCTGTGATGAGGTGGTGTTGAAGGAGTCAGGCGCAGGAGGGTAAATCACAGAATAACAGGCTTTAATCCGCTAAATACAGGTTTACGCAGAAATGCGTCAAACACACTCCAGGGCACAAAACAGGCGCACTGGAAAGTACAAGGCACACAGGAAATACTCCCGTCAATGCAAAATACCAGAGCTCTACCGAGCTTCACTAACCTCCACAATAAACAATCACCCACACAGACAAGGAAGCAGAGGGAACACTTATACAATGACTAATGAGGGAATAAGGACCAGGTGTGTGTGATTGAAGACAAGACAAATGGAGTGAAACCTGCCCAAACAAGGAGGGGAGGCAGCCTTGGCAGAAGTCGTGACAACTACTTAAGTACTTTTTTGGGGTATCTGGACTTTACTTTGCTATCTATATTTTTGACTACTTTTACTTTTACTTCACTACATTCCTAAAGAAAATAATGTACTTTTTACTCCATACATTTCCCCTGACACCCAAAAGTAATCGTTACCTTTTGAATGCTTACTTAGCAGGACAGGAAAATGGTCCAATTCACGCACTTATCAAGAGAACATCCCTGGTCTACCCTACTGCCTCTGATCTGGCGGACTCACTAAACACAAATGCTTCGTTTGTAAATAATGTCTGAGTGTTGGAGTGTGCCCCTGGCTATCCATAAAAAAGAAAACTGTGCCGCCTGGTTTGCTTAATATAAGCAATTTGAAATGATTTATAGTTTTACTTTTGATACTTAAGTATATTTTTGCAATTACATTTCATTTTGATACTTAAGTTTTAAAACCAAATACTCAAGTAGTATTTCACTGGGTGACTTTCACTTTTACTTAAGTCATTTTCTATTAAGGTATCTTTACTTTTACTCAAGTATGACATTGGGTACTTTTTTCACCACTGGAGAGGGGGGCGGGTTAGTTCATTTTAGTTCTTCAAGTAAATGTGTTACTTTTTTAAGTAAATCAAAATATTTCATACTTCTTCATGATTTAATATGAGGTAAAGCTAACCTTATGCCAGTGAAGTGAGCGTGAATGTAGAGCTGTGCTGAGTAGATCTGCACCCTCTGAGACTGGATCTCAATGATGGCTCCTATAGAGGGGGCATACTACAGAGAGAGGGATTAGCCCTGTACACACACACACAGACACAGACACACAGACACACACACACACACACACTGGGCGGCCAGAGACTCACAGAATCCTCTCTGTATTCGGAGAAGAGCTCCACCTCTACCAGCTGTCTCTGGTCCGCCGTTCCGGCCAGGAAGAACGGGATGAGAAACAGTGTTCCCAGAGTCTGGAGCAGGCTGGAACGATACCGCAGCATCGTCTAATAGGAACAGGAAAAGGAGCAGGACACCAATGGCCAATGTATACAGTTTCTCATGCATATTTCACTTTATTGTCCATTGCCACATTCCTCTGACATACTGTACCTCTGTCATAAAGCTTATTACACTGTAAAAACCACTACATAAGAGATGTCATAAGCAGTTCTATAGTTATGTTTAACTATATAAGATATGTCATAAGCAGTTCTATAGATATGTTTAACTATATAAGAGATGTCATAAGAAGTTCTATAGTTATGTTTAACTATTTAAGACATGGCATAAGCAGTCATAGCATGCGGTATGACAGCTGCGTGGGAGGTCAGTGTGCGGCAGCGGCGTACTCACAAAGCGAGAGCTGGAGCTGAGCTGCCTTACCTGAGACAGCGAGGCAGACCAACAGTGTGGTCAATTTACCAACACAGGACAATCAGAGTATTTAAATTCAGAAGATATTGATTGTTCCCCATTGCTGGGCAATTTGGTTGCAGCAGTATAAAAAAAATCGAACATGCACTCAAGCTCACTCAAAATACACCACAAATACAGATCAAAACAGATGAATGTTAAAAAGTGCAAATAAGGATGGGTTAATATGCAACTGTGGGATGCACATTAACAAGCCCAACACAATACTTGATATTCTCAACACTGGTCAACTCACAGATCGTGCTGAAGAGGTCACAGTCTGCCCCTGTCTGGAGTAACAGAACATCTTGACCATGAACATTCCTAACTCCTGATTGGCTGGAGACTCGGGCATCTCCAGCTCCAGAGAGATCCGATAGGGCTGGCCGTATGTCATCGCCTTCAGAGGGAGGGTTCAAATGAGTTCAAACGTCATAGTGAAAACCTCCCAATTCATTCTGTGCATTGGCAAAACTTTTCTATACGTTACATAGGCTAATAAAGGTGGATGGATAAACAGTGTATAAAGGATCACCTGGTTCTTGCCATTCCTCAGGAGAGAGACGTTGGCGGTGGGGAAGGAGCAGAGAAGGGAAGCTGAGGAGTCACAGTCCGTCCTGCAAAAGGAAAGGGAGTCAAAAATGTAATGAATTCCAATTATTGCAAAATTATGCATGTACTTGAGGTGTGGAGAAAGAGACAGAGACAGAGAGAGAGAGAGAGAGAGAGAGAGAGAGAGAGAGAGAGAGAGAGAGAGAGAGAGAGAGAGAGAGAGAGAGAGAGAGAGAGAGAGAGAGAGATAGAGAGAGACAGTGTGTGTGTATGTGTGAGGAAGCATGAGTGTAAAGCACACCTGTAGTAGTAGTGGACAGGAGTACTGTAGGTGGCTAGGGGCATGTAGGAGTAGTAGAAGCTCCCGTAGAGGAAGATGGCGGTCCATAGTAACAGTCCCAGAGCACACAGTAACAACGCTCCCTGTAACACCCTCTGACGCGCCTGCAGCGTTACCGTGGTAACTGTGTCCCGGAGCCAGAGCAGCGCCGGTCCAACTGGATCACCTGACCCATGATGACCTCCGGTGCCCATAGGTTCAGTTCCTGTGTCCATCTCTGAAGTGTTGATGATCTATTCTGATGCTCGATAGAACTTCTCTGGTCAAGCTATCCGGTCAGGTCCGCATAAAAAATATATATATACAGTACCAGTCAAAAGTTTGGACACCTACTCATTCAAGGGGTTTTCTTTATTTTTACTATTTTCTACATTGTAGAATAATAGTGAAGACATCAGAGCTATGAAATAACACATATGGAATCATGTAGTAACCAAAAAAGTGTTAAACAAATCAAAATATATTTTTATTTGAGATTCTTCAAAGTAGCCAACCTTTGCCTTGATGACAGCTATGCACACTCTTGGCATTCTCTCAAACAGCTTCATGAGGTTGTCACCTGGAATGCATTTCAATTAACAGGTGTGCCTTGTTAAAAATTAATTCGTGGAATTTATTTCCTTCTTAATGTGTTTGAGCCAATCAGTTGTGTTGGCATTCTCTCAACCAGCTTCATGAGGAATGCTTTTCCAACAGTCTTGAAGGAGTTTCCCACATATGCTGAGCACTTGTTGGCTGCTTTTCCTTCACTCTGCAGTCCAACTCATCTCAAACCATCTCAATTGGGTTGAGGTCGGGGGATTGTGGAGGCCAGGTCATCTGATGCAGCACTCCACCACTCTCCTTCTTGGTCAAATAGCCCTTACACAGCCTGGAGGTGTGTTGGGTCATTGTCCTGTTGAAAAACAAATGATAGTCCCACTAAGCCCAAACCAGATAGAATGGCGTATCGCTGCAGAATGCAGTGGTAGCCATGCTGGTTAAGTGTGCCTTGAATTCTAAATAAATCACTGACAGTGTCACCAACAAAGCACCCCCACACCATTACACCTCCTCCTCCATTCTTCACGGTGGGAACCACACATGCGGAGATCATCAGTTCATCAGTTCACCTACTCTGCATCTCACAAAGACACGGCGGTCGGAACCAAAAATCTCAAATTTGGAGTCCAGACCAAAGGACAGATTTCCACCGGTCTAATGTCCATTGCTTGTGTTTCTTGGCCCAAGCAAGTCTCTTCTTCTTATTGGTGTCCTTTAGTAGTGGTTTACTTGTAGCAATTCGACCATGAAGGCCTGATTCACACAGTCTCCTCTGAACAGTTGATGTTGAATTGTGTCTGTTACTTTAACTCTGTGAAGCATTTATTTGGGCTGCAATCTGAGGTGCAGTTAATTGCCGATTTCTGAGGCTAGTAACTCTAATGAACTTATCCTCTGCAGCAGAGGTAACTCTGGGTCTTCCTTTCCTGTGGCGGTCCTCATGAGAGCCAGTTTCATCATAGCGCTTGATGGTTTTTGCGACTGCACTTGAAGAAACTTTCAAAGTTCTTGACATTTTCCGGATTGACTGACCTTCATGTCTTAAAATAGTGATGGACTGTCTTTTCTCTTTGCTTATTTGAGCTGTTCTTGACATAATATGGACTTGGTCTTTTACCAAATAGGGCTATCTTCTGTATACCACCCCTACCTTGTCACAACACAACTGATTGGCTCAAACACATTAAGAAGGAAATAAATTCCACGAATTAATTTTTAACAAGGCACACCTGTTAATTGAAATGCATTCCAGGTGACTACCTCATGAAGCTGTTTAAGAGAATGCCAAGAGTGTGCAAAGCTGTCATCAAGGCAAAGGGTGGCTACTTTGAAGAATCTCAAATAAAAATATATTTTGATTTGTTTAACACTTTTTTGGTTACTACATGATTCCATATGTATTATTTCATAGTTTTTCTGTCTTCAGTATTATTCTACAATGTAGAAAATAGTAAAAATAAAGAAAAACCCTGGATTGAGTAGGTGTGTCCAAACTTTGGACTGGTATTGTATATATTTTATTGTCACATACACGGGATAGGTGCAGTGAAATGTGTAGTTTTACAGGGTCAGCCATAGTAGTATGGCACCCCTGCAGCAAATTAGAGTTAAGTGCCTTGCTCAAGGGCACATCAACAGATTTTCCACCTTGTCGGCTCGGGTATTTGAACCAGCGACCTTTCGGTTACTGGCCCAACGCTCTACCTCTTGTGTTTGAACTATTCTATTATGAACAGAGAGAAAGACAGACCTGTATGTGAGGGCTAATGAGAAGAGGCTATTGAGGCCTGCGTGCCACAGGACAGAGGGTTGAAGGCACAGACAGTGATTGCAGTGATGATTTTGAGTGGTATGAAACCACTGGGTCTAATTTCACAAGTCACAAGTGTAACCAAACTACATCAGATGACTAGATGAGATGAGAGAAGTTTGGCAAGATAGAAAGGGTGGAGAATACAGAATATTCCTAAAAAGCTGATTTATAAAGGAGCTAATTCAACAATGGACACTCAATTTACCAAAATATACCAACAGTAACAATGAATACACGTTTAACCTTGTCCTTAAATGATCAAACTGTGGGAAAAGATATAGTCCCATATTAACAAACTCTCTGTTACTGACACAGAGAGCACACTGCCAAAGTATTAAAACTCACCTCCAAATGTCTCAATGACCTCGGATATTGGTGCAGAGATAAAATGGTGTTATTGTTTCAATACCTTTTTGATAACGAGCAGTAAAAGTTGTCCCCCTTCTCCCAACTTCTTCTCTAAGAGCGTGTATTGCAGCACAGATAAAACGATATAAAAACACTCTCTCAGTGCCTTTTATAGACAAGCTCTCCAATAGGCTACCGAGATAGAAAAAAAGCACCGGATTGGTCGCGTCGCTCACATAGGGTTACAGTTTCAAACTACTGTAGAACGTTTAAATGAAACTTAAAATGCATATTTAAACAATAACTAAACGAAGAAGACAGGGAGTTATTTTGCAAACAGAACATTCAACTGATATCAGTATCACTCATACCAGCACAAGTAATTGATCCTTTATCTGCATAAGGAATAGATCTTCACAGACTTCAGATGTGTTGTTGAGTAATACTTTGGATGTTGAAATATCGCAATATTTGGCATCAAGTCTGATCCAGTCTCTTCACAATAGGATATTACACAATTTCCTGTCTCTGGAATGGATATGAATTGAAATATGATATGTTATTAATATGTTATACGTATGTTATTATTATGCATATTTTCTCTATTAGCTTGCAGTGATTTGCTTACTTAGCCTATAACAAACTTGAACAACTTGAGATCAAGCATGCAGCGCCTAGGCTTCTTGAACAAACACCGAAACTAGTCCCTGTAGCTCCGCCCACCGTCGTTCCATCGTTGTTTCTGGCAACATAGTATCCATAGTGTATCCATTTCTATTTGGGGCTGTTTTCCTGCTAAATTGGGCTACTTTGAAAACCATGTCGCGGGTTGCTGGTTTTTGTGCTATTTCTAAGTTGCACCGCGGCTGCCAAGGCATTTCTCTCTTCTTTAAAAAAAAACAATCACTTAACTGTGACCTGCACCTGACTGTCAGGCAGTGAGACAGGCAGTTGCTGAGTGAGTGGTGGGGAATGCCGGATGTGTGTGTGTGTGTGTGTGTGTGTGTTGAGAGAGCGCTACAGTTATTGGCTGTGTCACGTGAGCGAGAGGAGCAAGAGCAGCACGCGCGCACGTTGTGACAACTTTTTACCAGTTGTAGGTAGGCTATTTAGATTGTCATTATAGATACACCTATTTCCAAAACGTTTTCCATAAAACATATTAATACTCTAGAACTGATGCACATCAATAAATAATGGAGACAAAGCATTGGAAAACGACTTTGGGCGCACTAGAGCGCATTACATAAATCCGCTCGTAGGTGGTTTAAACTGCATAGTAATTTTGACTGCTTAAAGAAAACGGTATCAAGCGAAGTGCTTTATTCATGTTCAGTTCTTGGGTCTTGGGGGTTGCCCGAGTATAAATTTGAAATGGAAGTTATGGAACTCCCTCGCGTGGTTCTTTTTATGGGGAAAAGCCCTCAATGAAACTGACATTAGGCTAAATGTGGAGAATTATACATTTGCCTCTGTTGGCCATCAAGTAGCCTATTAATGTATATGCCATTGTAGGCTACCATTTGATACAATACATATGTTGACATTACGATATCACTGGAGTCATTGCAAATCAATTTGTGCCACTTGTGTAGCCTACCTGGAGATGGCAAACCAATTCAATAAAAAGCCTATAACTTCAGTTTACTGTTGTTGTAGCCTTGTGTTATTATGAACGCATTAGATTGACGGTAACAGTAGTCAGATTAGGCTACAGGTAAGACAAATTCAAAAAAATAAACACTGGCTGTTGTTGACAAGCACATTCAGTTCATATACATATTATTAATATTTAATTCAGTGATTGAAATGATGACCCCATCCTCAGTAGCCTATTCCAGCAGGATATTGGGGAAACAAGCACATGTTGCGAAATCTGCTCGCTATTCATGTTGAATAAATTAGTCTGTTAATTTGAACTAAGCAAGCTGCTAAATCGTTCAGTTTACGTCTTGCCTACATCTTGTCTAGGCTACTGTAGACTATCTGAAAAGAGATATAGGCCTATCAGCGGCTATAGGCTACCTGTTTTATCTAAGCAAACTATGGCAAAATGTAATTAGAATCATAAACCCTGATTTTAGTCTGTAGCCTATGCCTATTGAAATGACAAGTCAGTCTCGCAAATGGGCCATTTATAACGGTTTGTAGTCAACATCTGGCACATAATAACAGCACAATTGCCAGAAAATAGCCTAACATTAGTTTTTTATGTTCATCCAAGTGTTTCTTGCTCAGAGATTTCGAGATCCTCTATCCAACTTTCATCACTCAAACTCTCCTTTCGGATTTATCTACAGTTATGCACATGTGCAAAGGTGATTTATTTACAACTGGTTCGAACTGAATGCTGATTGGCTGAAAGCAGGTGGTATATTAGACCATAACCACTGGTATGACAAAACATTACTGTTTACTGTTCTAATGACGTTGGTAACCAGTTTATAATAGCAAAAAGACACCCCTGGGGTTTGTGGTATATGGCCAATATACCACTGCTAACGGCTGTATCCAGGCACTCTGCCTTGCGTCGTGCTCTTAGCCGTGGTATATTGGCCATATACCATACCCCTTGTGCCTTATTGCTTAATCATAGCAGTCAAGCGAGTTAAAACGACATCCATTGATGGAAAATGATCTGGCGAGTTTAATAAGGGCGAATTATCTTTTCTCTTGTTACATATTCAAATTCCTTTATTATGTCATGTCATAGCTTGCAATAATTATTATTTTGAGGAAACCCGAATTTAGCTTCTAACATCATTACAAGTTACTATGATATTCCTTCTTAATTGGCTCGATAACGTTATGGAAACATGTTTTATTGCATAGATATGGCAACTCCTCTCTTGCTGTGAAAAAAAAGAAATTGGGCTAGTTTTCAGGCCTTTTTCCGCGGGTTTTGATTGGTCATTGGTCTAGAAATGTATCTTGACCTGGCAACCCTGTTCTGTTGATTTTTTGTCGTATTGTGGGATTGATAGTTAACTGGGAAAACAAACATCCGGTTTTATAATCTTACCGTCCACTGTCCCTTGATCTTTTTCTGCTCTACAGACAGACTGATCAACATGGACGTCGGATTTCGCCGCCCCGTTATCCTTTGCCTAACCCTGGCAGTTTTGGGCTCGGTTCTGGCCGATTTGGATGACACTTTAATGGGGGCACCCGGGTCTGCGGTCCGTTTGTCGGAAAACGACCCAGGTTTGAAGAAGGCACTGAAGTTTGCAGAAGAGCGCTATAACATGGTGTCCAATGCGATGCACGTTCGCAGAGTTAGCAAGATCCTCTCTGCCAGTAAACAGGTAGACAGTGTTGTGAAATATGATTTGTTTATTAAAAAATATATAGCCTAGTTTATGTCCATTGTGATTGTAGGCCATAATACTGTATCTGGCAAATAGGCAGTCACAGATTTTAGTTCGTGGGATGTAAACAACCAGCCATAAAGGAATAATGCGGCCGCCTACGTCAGAGCCATTATTTAGAATTGTGAATCCGGAACCTGTTCGGGTCCCGGATCGGGTCTCGGGTATTCGGGTACAGGTGGATCCGTGAAGACCTCTAGTCTGAACTACATGACGTCTGTGCAGCTCAGCCTAAATTGAACAGGCCTTAACCCTACTGCAGCCCAAACAAGCACTCTAATTTAACAATGTTTTCATTGCAGTTATCCTCATGATCAACTAAGCCTACAGTAAAAAAAAAAAGAAATGCTGCTATTCATACTGCCTAATGACTATAGCCTTTTATGCCTCTCTGTATCCACATTACATTTTATGTCCGAAGGAATAATGCCAGTGTCCTATGACTCCTATCATTCAACCAGTGTTGTGGAGTAGTGAACTACATGTAGTTCAACTATTAATTTAACTACATTTTGCAGTAGCTTGGTGGTAGTTCAACTAAATCCAAATCTAGGTAGTGTTTTTAGTAGTTCATAACTTTTTTTTTGCCATGTAGTGGTGTAGCTAACTACTGGAACTACACACTACTCTTTTGGCTAAAATAAAATAAAATATGGGTGAAGTAGGCCAGAATCTCCATTCTTTTTTAGCTTCAGACCTGCCTAATTCTCACTTGAAACATCTTATTGTGTTTAATAGGCTAAATTACACATTCTGTTAACATATGAACCCAAAGTCATCTGTCTTCCAATTTGTAGCCTTTACATATTAACATTTTTCACAAAGTAGTTTGGATGTGGTGAACTACTTTTTCAAAGTAACTTTAGTTAAGCCAACTATATGTTTCTTAAGGGTAGCTTTAGTGTAGCTTAACTTCTTTCAGTGTGAAGTAAATGGTAGCTTGGTAAACTATCTTTTTAGAGTAGCTTCCCCAACACTGCCCTCAACAAACCTATTGTCTCAGCTAGACAAGCCTGTCTCAGCTAGACAAGCCAGTTAGCGCTCTGCTGAATGGTATTTTCCAGTGTAATCAGCCCGTTCAGCTAGGCCTATAAATGCCATATATTGGTCTTGAAAGTGACGTCAGAGCTAAATTCTAGGCTAGATGGCAAAACAACAACCGCAGAATTGATTTTGTTTATTTTTCAAAGAGGCTGACCTTCACTGTGTATTGACTCTGCGTGTGTCTGTCTTGTAGCTGGTGAAGGGTATCCAATACAGCATAATGGTGGAGCTAAGTAACACCCAGTGTAAGAAGGCTGCCAGACTGAGGACCTGTGACTTCTATCCCGAGGAACACAACCTGAAGGTGAGGCCTGTGTGTGTGTGTGTGTGTGTGTGTGTGTGTGTGTGTGTGTCTGTGTCTGTTTGTTTTTCTGTCTTGGGATGATAACAGTGTGGGTTGTTGGAGGGAAAGTACAGCTAAACTAATGTCAGAGTGCTCCTCATCAAATCAAAACCCAAAGTTTTATAATAGTAAATATTGGCAAAACATAAACCACTAACATAAATAAACTGTCAACACTGATGAGTATCCAGTATCAAGGCCATTGTGTGTATCTGGGTCTATTGTAGGTTATTATTCTATCCGTCTGTTCTCTCTCCCACTAGTCATGTGACCAGGATCTTGTGCTAATTAACTTCTCATAAATTTGACAAACTGTTATCCCCTGCTGCAGCTATGTACACAACCAGTCAGGTACTGTTCCCCCTTCTTTGTTCCGCCTCTGTGAAGCATTTATTTGTGCTGCAATCTGAGGTGCAGATAATTGCCGATTTCTGAGGCTGGTAACTCTAATGAACTTATCCTCTGCAGCAGAGGTAACTCTGGGTCTTCCTTTCCTGTGGCGGTCCACATGAGAGCCAGTTTCATCATAGTGCTTGATGGTTTTTGCGACTGCACTTGAAGAAACTTTCAAAGTTCTTGACATTTTCCGGATTGACTGACCTTCATGTCTTAAAGTAATGATCGACTGTAATTTCTCTTTGCTTATTTGAGCTGTTCTTGCCATAATATGGACTTGGTCTTTTACCAAATAGGGCTATCTTCACCACACCTACCTTGTAACAACACAACTGATTAGCTCAAACGCATTAAGAAGGAAAGACATTCCACAAATTAACTTTTAACAAGGCACACCTGTTAATTGAAATGCATTCCAGGTGACTACCTCATGAAGCTGTTTGAGAGAATGCCAAGAGTGTGCAAATCTGTCATTAAGGCAAAGGGTGGCTATTTGAAGAATCTCAAATATAAAATATATTTTCATTTGTTTAACACTTATTTGGTAACTACATGATTCCATATGTATTATTTCATAGTTTTGATGTCTTCACTATTGTTCTACAATGTAGAAAATAGTAAAAATAAAGAAAACCTCTTGAATGAGTAGGTGTGTCCAAACTTTTGACTGGTACTGTATGTGCTGTACCATTCCCATGCTTTTAGAAACATCTAATTTCAGTTGACGTGAATAATTTACAGAGGCATTTCTCTGAAGTGCACATAACAATACACCACATTCTAATAAACGGTTTTATAAACAAGTCATGAACATAGCAGCCCAATAAAACAAACACAGATTATCTCACTAACCATGTTTTCTCCGCTGACATGTTCTCTGTCAGACGGAGGTGTGTGTGTTTGAGGTCTGGGACATTCCCTGGGAAAGCAAGTCCACCCTCCTCAAACTGAAGTGCCAGCCAGCAGGTTAGTGTCAAAGGTTCAACTGTGGGAACTAAACGTACCTGTCAAGCCCTGGCTCTAGGGACTCTTTTATGTTGAGCCAGGGTGTGTAGAGTGTATGTTTTGTGCTCTTTGTTTTCCATTCTAGTTTTGTATTTCTATGTTGGCCAGTGTGGTTCTCAATCAGAGGCAACGAGTGTCAGCTGTTGCTGGTTGTCTCTGATTGGGAACCACATTTAGACAGGCTGTTTTCCCACAGTGGTTGTGGGATCTTGTTCCTAGTAGGTTGTGTTTGTGCTAAGGACGTCACGTTATCGTTTTGTTGTTTTGTTCGTGTTATCTTTCAGATTTAATAAATATGTTTGCATTCAACGCTGCGCGTTGGTCCTCTGTTCCCGACGATCGTGACAGAAGATCCCACCAAAACTGGACCAAGCAGCGTGTCCAGGAGCCATCGCCAGGGGAATCGCTAGCGGATCTCCGTGGCAACTTCGACTGGGTCAAGCCTAGTGAAGAGCAGAGAGGGTGGACTTGGGAACAGTGGAGGAAGAGTCTCGACTGGGTCAAGCCAAATGAAGAGCAGAGTGGTTGGACTTTGGAGCAGTGGAGGAAGAGTCTGGCGAGAGATAGGGAGGCTTGGTCCACGGGGAGGAGAGACACCCGGTCCGGCCCGTTCCTGATCCCTGCGTAGGGCCAGTGGTGTGTGTCCCCAGTACGGTCCGGCCTGTTCCTGTTCCTCGCATCGAGCCTGTGGTGCGTGTCGTCAGCCCGGCCCGGCCTGTTCCTGCTCCCCGCACCGAGCCTATGGTGCGCGTCGCCAGCCCGGTCCAGCCCGTTCCTGCTCCCCGCACCAAGCTTATGGTGCGCGTCGCCAGCCCGGCCCGGCCTGTTCCTGCTCCCCGCACCAAGCCTATGGTGCGCGTCGCCAGCCCGGTCCGGCCCGTTCCTGCTCCCCGCACCAAGCTTATGGTGCGCGTCGCCAGCCCGGCCCGGCCTGTTCCTGCTCCCCGCACCAAGCCTATGGTGCGCGTCGCCAGCCCGGCCCGGCCTGTTCCTGCTCCCCGCACCAAGCCTATGGTGCGCGTCGCCAGCCCGGCCCGGCCTGTTCCTGCTCTCCGCACCAAGCCTATGGTGCGCGTCGCCAGCCCGGTCCGGCCCGTTCCTGCTCCCCGCACCAAGCCTATGGTGCGCGTCGCCAGCCCGGCCCGGCCCGTTCCTGCTCCCCGCACCAAGCCTACGGTGCACGTCGCCAGCCCGGCTCGGCCTGTTCCTGCTCCCCACACCAAGCCAGTGGTGTGCGTCGTCAGTCCGGCACAGCCCGTGCCTGTTCCACCGGTGCCTGGTCCGGTACCGGTCAGCTGCTCCACGCCGGAGCGAGAGCAATCCGCTCCACCAGTGTTCAGTCCAGCTCCGGCTAGCAGGGCCAGACCGGACCAGGGGTACTTTGGGGGGTTAGAGAGGGAGTGGGGATCATGCCTGGAGCCGGATCCGCCGCCAAGGCGGAGTGCCCACCCGGTCCCTCCCCTGTGGTGGTTGGTTGGCGCGGTCGGAGTCCGCGCCTTTGGGGGGGGGTACTGTCACGCCCTGGCTCTAGGGACTCTTTTATGTTGAGCCAGGGTGTGTAGAGTGTATGTTTTGTGCTCTTTGTTTTCCATTCTAGTTTTGTATTTCTATGTTGGCCAGTGTGGTTCTCAATCAGAGGCAACGAGTGTCAGCTGTTGCTGGTTGTCTCTGATTGGGAACCATATTTAGACAGGCTGTTTTCCCACAGTGGTTGTGGGATCTTGTTCCTAGTAGGTTGTGTTTGTGCTAAGGACGTCACGTTATCGTTTTGTTGTTTTGTTCGTGTTATCTTTCAGATTTAATAAATATGTTTGCATTCAACGCTGCGCATTGGTCCTCTGTTCCCGACGATCGTGACAGTACCTTTGTGCTTTTATTTGTTTAGGATTGTTTCTGTAAATACTCATAGCTACATCTAATAGTTTTTCATGATGCTTGCATTTCAGTTGATCCCAAACCAGTTGAGACCAACAAAGTTGCATTTCTGCCCCTCTCCACCAGCAAACCAGTTGAGGTAATAGAAACATAGCGTTTGTTGTGTTTGAGCGGGTTTTCTGTTGTTTTCTGTATGCGTATATTTCATTTACTTGTCAATAATTAACTTATCTTTTGTGACAGGAGACAGTGGATTCTGTGGAGCTTCTGGGTCAGTTCAAAGAGTTCATGGTCAGATACAATAGGACTTACAGCAGCCAAAAGGGTGAGAGATAAATGTAAATCCATAATTTTACACAATATCGTCCATCCACCTCCACAGATGATAAGGTAAAACATCTTAACATAAACAGTTTTTGTCTGACCTCTGACCTTTGCTGCTACAGACACTGACCGGCGGCTGCGTATCTTCCATGAGAACCTGAAGACCGCTGAGAAGCTCCAGTCTCTGGACCAGGGCACAGCCGAGTACGGGGTCACCAAGTTCAGCGACCTCACAGGTGTGTGTGTGTGTGTGTGCATGTGTGGGACGCTTATAAGAAATCCCGCTATGCCCTCCGACAAACCATCAAACAGGCAAAGAGTCAATACAGGACTAAGATTGAATCGTACTACACCGGCTCTGACGCTCGTCGGATGTGGCAGGGCTTGAACACTATTACAGACTACAAAGGGAAGCACAGCCGCGAGCTGCCCAGTGACACAAGCCTACCAGACGAGCTAAATCTCTTCTATGCTCGCTTCGAGGCAAGCAACACTGAAGCATGCATGAGAGCATCAGCTGTTCCGGATGACTATGTGATCACGCTCTCCGTAGCCGATGTGAGTAAGATTTTTAAGCAGGTCAACATTCACAAGGCCGCAGGGGCAGACGGATTACCAGGACGTGTACTCCGAGCATGCACTGACCAACTGGCAAGTGTCTTCACTGACATTTTCAACATGTCCCTGACTGAGTCTGTAATACCAACATGTTTGAAGCAGACCACCATAATCCCTGTGCCCAAGAACACTAAGATAACCTGCCTAAATGACTACCGACCCGTAGCACTCATGTCTGTAGCCATGAAGTGCTTTGAAAGGCTGGTCATGGCTCACATCAACACCATTACCCCAGAAACCCTAGACCCACTCCAAATTGCATACCGCTCCAACAGATCCACAGATGATGCAATCTCTATTGCACTCCACACTGCCCTTTCCCACCTGGACAAGAGGAACACCTACGTGAGAATGCTATTCATTGACTACAGCTCAGCATTCAACACCATAGTGCCCTCAAAGCTCATCACTAAGCTAAGGACCCTGGGATTAAACACCTCCCTCTGCAACTGGATCCTGGACTTCCTGACGGGCCGCCCCAAGGTGGTAAGGGTAGGTAACAACACATCTGCCACGCTGATCCTCAACACGGGGGCCCCTCAGGGGTGCGTGCTCAGTCCCCACCTGTACTCCCTGTTCACCCATGACTGCATGGCCAGGCACGACTCCAACACCATCATTAAGTTTGCCGACGACACAACAATGGTAGGCCTGATCACAGACAACGATGAGACAGCCTATAGGGAGGAGGTCAGAGACCTGGCCGTGTGGTGCCAGGATAACAACCTCTCCCTCAATGTGATCAAGACAAAGGAGATGATTGTGGACTACAGGGAAAAAAAGAGGACACCAAGACAGTCGTGAAGAGGGCACGACAAAGCCTATTCCCCCTCAGGAGACTGAAAAGATTTGGCATGGGTCCTCAGATCCTCAAAAAGTTATACAGCTGCACCATCGAGAGCATCCTGACAGGTTGCATCACCGCCTGGTATGGCAACTGCTCTGCCTTTGACTGCAAGGCACTACAGAGGGTAGTGCGTACGGCCCAGTACATCACTGGGGCCAAGCTTCCTGCCATCCAGGACCTCTATACCAGGCGGTGTCAGAGGAAGGCCCTAAAAATTGTCAAAGACTCCAGCCACCCTAGTCATAGACTGTTCTCTCTGCTACCGCACGGCAAGCGGTACCGGAGCGCCAAGTCTAGGTCCAAAAGGCTTCTTAACAGCTTCTACCACCAAGCCATAAGACTCCTGAACTGCTAAACATGGCTACCCAGATTATTTGCATTGCCCCCCCCCCCCCCCCCCACCCCATACCCCTATTTTACTCTGCTGCTACTCTGTTTGTTATTTATGCATAGTCACTTTAACTCTACCCACATGTACATATTACCTCATTTACCTCCACTAACCGGTGCCCCCGCACATTGACTCTGTACCGGTACCCCCTGTATATAGTAAGTCGCTCTGGATAAGAGCGTCTGCTAAATGACTAAAATGTAAATGTAAATATAGGCTCCCTACTGTTATTTTAATTTACTGCTGCTCTGTAATTATTAGCATTTTATTTTTCTTGTATTTTTTTTGTTCTATTTTATTTAAACATTAAAAAAAAAAATGTTTTACTTATCTATTTTCTACTTAACACTTTTCTTAAAAAACTACGTTGTTGGTTAAGGGCTTGTAAGTAAGCATTTCACTGTAATGTCTACACCTGTTGTATTCGGCGCATGTGGGAAATACAATTTGATTTGATTTGAAGGTTACAGTACAACTCCTCAACTGTACACCCTCTGTCTCTCACCCTCCAGAGGAGGAGTTTAGGACTTTGTACCTGAACCCCCTGCTGAGCCAGCAGAACCTCCAGCGGTCCATGAAGCCTGGAGCCATGCCCCGCGGTCCTGCCCCGCCCAGCTGGGACTGGAGAGAGCATGGAGCTGTCAGCTCCGTCAAGAACCAGGTAGGACAGGGTTTAGAGATGGTCTTACAGACTGGAGATGACTACAGGTATGACTGTAAATGTGTATGTATGATTGTATTTATGATCGGACGAATAACAACTTAAAAAGGCTTTATATAGCATTCAAAGTATTCATGACTCTGCTTTGATGCTTCACTAAACATGTATAAGTAAGCAAAAGTCATACTTTCATTCATACTGTAGATATGACACAATTCATGGAAAATGTGGAAGTAGATAATGCCTGTGTGTGGAGGTTGGTAATGCCTGTGTGTGGAGGTAGGTAATGCCTGTGTGTGTGTGTACGATTATGTGGTTTGTGTTTGTATTGCAGGGCATGTGTGGTTCTTGCTGGGCATTCTCAGTGACAGGCAACATTGAGGGCCAGTGGTTCGTGAAAACGGGTAAACTAGTGTCTCTCTCTGAGCAAGGTAAGCACAAGCATTGTAGGTATCTTAACATAAACAACAGTACAGTTTCCCTTTTCTCCATAACAGCTTTGAATTGATTGGTTCAATATCCTGTCACTCACAGAGCTGGTGGACTGTGATACTGTGGACCAGGCCTGTGGGGGCGGGCTTCCATCAAATGCATATGAAGCCATCGAGAATCTGGGTGGTCTGGAGACTGAGACTGACTACAGCTACACCGGCAAGAAGCAGAGCTGTGACTTCACCACCAACAAAGTCACCGCCTACATCAACAGCTCCGTGGAGCTGTCCAAGGACGAGAACGGTGAGTGGGAGGAGAAGAGAACATGAAAAAAGCAGAGTGAGCGAGAGGGTAGGGTACACGGAGAGAAAGACACCGATGATAGTTTGAAGGATGAAGATTGAACGATGCGGTACATATGGAGGAGGGTTGGCCACATGTAGGCTGTCATTGTAAATAATAATTTATTCTTAACTGACTTGCGTAGTTAAATAAAGGTTAAATAAAATAGAATAAATAAAAACATGTGTTCATCTTAGTTTCCTTCCCTTTTTATGTTTAGAAATCGCTGCTTGGCTGGCTGAGAATGGACCAGTATCTGTGGCCCTGAACGCCTTCGCAATGCAGGTAACCAGGGGTTGGAACCGGTTCAGGGAACAGAACCGAAAACCAGAAATTTTTCAAGGAACAGAAACGGAACCTGAAACGAAAGTGATCCATACTGTTCTGGAACAGAACCGTTATTTTAAAAGCATGGGAACCGGTTAATAACGTTATTTTACGTTCCAGGCATATTTGTCCCACAGCAAAATACAACAAAGCGCCTATGCAAAGCCCTCACTGTGTCACTCAAAAACGTATTCCAGTGTCTGCCTGCAAGCTGAAAATCTTTGCCTGTGTGTGTTTAGGCTACCTGCCCCTCCCTCCTCCGAAGCATAGGCTACTGTACTGACGTTACAAGATAGGGAGAGAGATTTTTTATTAGCTAGAGACTAATTGATTATCTTTTTCAATGCTAGTTAATGATACTATGGGCCTAGTTATCACGTTTCACATTGGATTTATTAACTACAAGAAGGTAAGACATGTTTTTAATTCTCTGCACACAGAAGCTTGTTAGCTAGCTAGCTCAAAGGACATTCAAAGTTCCTCCATAGAAGCCGCTTCTCCTAGGTATAATTCTGTGGACCTAATTCATATAATGCATGTCATAACAAGATGCCCAGCACTTCTAGCCTCCTCCTCAAACCTATCTCGCTCTCTCCCCACCTGCAAAATTTCAGTCGCATCTTTACATTTTAGTCATTTAGCAGACGCTCTTATCCAGAGCGACTTACAGTTAGTGAGTGCATACATTTTCATACTGGCCCCCCCGTGGGAAACGAACCCACAACCCTGGCGTTGCAAGCGCCATGCTCTACCAACTGAGCTACAGGGGACTTGTAGCTATAGGCTACAGGCATCTTGCGCTATAGGCTACACTTGTCTGTCCATCACACATGTAAACAACTAGCTTGCCTGCTCTATCCACACTGATTGTTGAAGTAATTTAATGAGCTAAATGTAACAACAACAACAACTGAATTTGTAGGTTAAAAAAGGAACAGAAAGGAAGGATATAAACCGGTACTTTTTGGGGTTCAAAGCAGTTCAGAACTTTACTTTGTTGGTCGGAACAGTGGAACGAAACAAAGAAAAAAGTGGTTCTGTCCAGAACGAAATGATTAGAAAATTATTTCGGTTACAACCCCTGCAGGTAACAGAAATCACAACACTGCCATATCTTTCTTAATGATACTTAAATTAGCATCACTAAAACACAACTGAACAATGAAGTGACTAGTATCTATCTAACTAATCCCACCTGCCTTTCTCTCCTTGTTTCTCCTCAGTTCTACAGGAAGGGTGTGTCCCACCCTCTGAAGATCTTTTGCAACCCCTGGATGATTGACCATGCAGTGTTGCTCGTGGGCTACGGAGAACGTGAGACTGACACTTAACTACTCATTTACCTTACATTAACCTAGCATAATAACAACACTGTGACGAGTCAGAATGTGTGAGTCATGTGTGTCTGGTTGTTTCTGTGTACAGGACAAGGCAAACCATTCTGGGCCATCAAGAACAGTTGGGGAGAGGACTATGGAGAACAGGTAACAGAAAGCTGTCACACTGAACCTCTATGACAAGGCGTTATGCGTGCATTTGTAAACAGAGTATTTGTTTACAATGCATGCATAACACCTAGTCATGCCTGAACTCTTGGAACATATTGTGCAAATAGAAGTTTTGACATGTGTATTTGTGTGTTCATTGACTGACATGTCCTGTTGTGTGTTCCTTCCCTCCAGGGTTACTACTACCTGTACAGAGGATCCAAGCTCTGTGGGATCAACAAGATGTGCTCATCTGCTATTGTGAACTAGGCGATATGACACACACACACACGTGATCGGAATAATATTTTATGCCAATCTTCGCCTGGCACAAAAAACAAACCCTACACCCTCCCCCCAAACATATACACACACACTACCTACAAACGGACCGAACTGCAACGTTACTCGTCACCCTACCCCGCTAATTGTGTAGTCGGAACACTGCACAGTGCACTGGAAGACCTGCTGACAGCTTACTCAAATAGGGGAAGCAGCATTCATTCATACCTCACATCTCATTCTTCTTTTTCAAAACAAATCAGCTCTGATGAAGCTATAGTTTTAAGGTAGCACTGGTCTTTTGTTGTGATTTTACTACTAGCCTTTAAGGATATTTTAATTGAATTGCTGTGTTTTAGGCAGAGGTAATTCCAGTCGTCTATCTCTTTACAATAACAGAGTGTAAATGATAAAGGGGATGTTGTGTTTTTAGACTTCAGTCATGCTGTTTAGTGTCCATTATGTTCCCCTGCATCTGACCACTCTCCGTGCTGGTGCTCTAGTGTAGAATTAATGCTTGTGCATTTTTGCTAGACTTTTCCTCTGTTGTAACATGTTCTGTGCAATACCACCTATCATCAATATCTCCTCATAGTTTACAACTTCACTGTGCAAGTACTTTTAATGAATTGGTTTGCATGTGTAGCCTATTAACTGTTACATATTGCAGTGCTGTGTAACTAGACAAACTAAGGTTTAATAAAAAAGTATCTTATTCATTGTGAAATGTAATTTTTGAAGTCAATATCCACTGTATGTTGTTGGTTGGTTCATTGGAGAGACGATCTATTCACAAAAGCCTGCGGTTCTTGAACAAGCCCCAGACATGAAAACGACTTAAACTCCCAAAATGCAACTGGAGTAGAATAGATACGTCAGCGGTGCCTAAAAGGAAAGGAAGCGCATGCGTTTCTTTGTTGCTGGAAACTAATATTTGATATAACAGGTCTTTTTCGAAGTTCACATGCCATCAGACAATCCAAAATCTTTTTCCTACAGTAAATATACACATTTTTGCAGTTCAGATTTACAAGGTATGTAGCAAGAGGCTCATTTCAAGTGTATGTGCGTGCTAACTCTAGCTAGCTTGCTGTCAAAACTGCTAGCTAGCTAACGTTACCAATAAATATATAGAATTACAACGTTAATAATATCATATGGTCTAATCTTCTATAATTTCATAACATAACAGCAAGCATAATTCTGATCATTAGACATTTGTGTGTGTACGATACCGGCATTTCTGGTTGACGTAGCTAACGTTAGCTAGCTAACATGGGACAGCTTGCCACTGACTTTGCCCAAACAAAACATACATTTGATGGTAACTAGATGGCTGTCACACTAACGTCGCTAAGGTTGACCTTTTGAATTGCTACCCTGTTGTTATGCATTAAGCAGCCTACAATATTGTTCTCATTAGATTTGTAATATCTGTAACTTATTCTGTCCTCCTCCTGCCATACCGCAGAGGAAGGCCCAAAACATTGTCATAGACTGTTCTCTCTGCTACTGCACGGCAAGCGGTACCCGGAGCGCCAAGTTTAGGTCCAAAAGGCTCCTTAACAGCTTATACCCCCAAGCCATAAGACTGTTGAAGAATTAATCAAATGGCCACCCGGACTATTTATATTGACCCCCCCCCCCCCCCCCCCCCCCACAAATTACCTTGACTAACCTGTACCCCCCACATTGACTCGGTACAGGTACCCCCTGTATATAGCCACATTATTATGTAATTTTATTGTGTTACTTTTTTTTATTTTTACTTTAGTTTATTTACTAAATATTTTCTTAACTCTTATTTCTTGAACTGCATTGTTGGTTAAGGGCTTGTAAGTAAGCATTTCACGGTAAGGTCTACATCTGTTGTATTCGGTGCATGTGACAAATAAAATATGATTTGACATGCATAAAGAACAGTTGGCTAACAGTGGTGATGAAAACTGATGTTTCCTCAGCTGGCAAACGTCAACGATGTCACAGGCTACCAAACGCAAGCATGTTGTCAAGGAGCAGACACTCGACGACTATGTCACACCAACAGAGAACCAACAGATTGTGAGGGTTAGTAACTGTGCTGTCAGACATGACATGTTTTACTGAACACACACAACAAAGACTAGCCTAGATGTCTGCCATCCAGATTCAGACTCATTCAGCCACTCTACCAAACAGATAGGGTCAGTGGATGAAGCAAGAGGATGGGAACTTTTAAGTCTTTCTTTATGTAAGGTGACTGACAGACATTTACCTCTGCTGCACCTGTAGTTAATTATCTGTTTTTGCACGCATATTCTACCTGTTTCTTTGTCATACAAATCCCCTCTCTCTGTACCTGTCTCCATGCAGGTTCTTGGTAGTCGTGGCAACAACCTGCACGAGGCTGTCACGGCCCAGGGGGAGAACTTCCTGATCAGCATGCCCCCAAAATTCCGCAAGAACCTCTGGATCAAGAGAGGTAACATGTCCCCTTATACTAGAGTGCATCCCAAATGGCACCCTGTTCCTTATCACCCATAAGGCTTAGGTCAAAAGTAGTATTGTTTGTTCTCAAAGAATATCTTATTTTAAAATATATAGGCCCATTATCTTTTCAACATACAGTGCATTCGGAAAGTATTCAGACCCCTTGACTTTTTCCACATTTTGTTACGTTATACTTATTCTAAAATTGATTAAATTGTCGTTTTTTTCTCATCAATCTACACACAATACCCGATAATGACAAAGAAAAAAACAGGTTTTGAGAAATGTTTGCAAAAAAAATATATACTACGGAAATGAAACAATTGTGGTCCTCTGTAGCTCAGTTGGTAGAGCACGGCGCTAGTAACGCCAGGGTAGTGGGTTCCATCCTCGGGACCACCCATACGTAAACATTTATGCACGCATGACTAAGTCGCTTTGGATAAAAGCGTCTGCTAAATGGTATTTATATTTTTATTTATAATTACATAAGTAATCAGACCCTTTACTCAGTACTTTGTTGAAGCACCTTTGGCAGTGATTACAGCCTCCAGTCTTCTTGGGTATGACGCTACAAGCTTGGCACACCTGTATTTGGGGACTTTCTCCCATTCTTCTCTGCAGATCCTCTCAAGCTCTGTCAGGTTGGATGGGGAGCGTCGCTGCACAGCTATTTTCAAATCTCTCCAGAGATGTTCGATTGGGTTCAAGTCCGGGCTCTGGCTGGGCCACTCAAGGACATTCAGAGACTTGTCCCGAAGCCACTCCTGCGTTCTCTTGGCTGTGTGCTTAGGGTTGTTGTCCTGTTGGAAGGTGAACTTTCTCCCCAGTCTGAGGTCCTGAGCGCTCTGGAGCAGGTTTTCATCAAGGATTTCTCTGTACTTTGCTCCGTTCATCTTTCCCTCGATCCTGACTAGTCTCCCAGTCCCTGCCGCTGAAAAACATCCCCTAGCATGATGCTTCCACCACCATGCTTCACCGTAGGGATGTTGCCAGGTTTCCTCCAGACATGACGCTTGGCATTCAGGCCAAAGAGTTCAATCTTGGTTTCAATAGACCAGAGAATCTTGTTTCTCATGGTGTGAGTCCATTAGGTGCCTTTTGGCAAACTCCAAGCGGGCTGTCGTGCTTTTTACTGAGGTGTAGCTTCCGTCTGGCCACTCTACCATAAAGGCCTGATTGGTGGAATGCTGCAGAGATGGTTGTCCTTCAGGAAGGTTTTCCCATCTCCACAGAGGAACTCTGGAGCTCTGTCACAGTGACCATCGGGTTCTTGGTTACCTCCCTGACCAAGGCCATTCTCCCCTGATTGCTCAGTTTGCCAGCTCTAGGAAGAGTCTTGGTGGTTCCAAACTTCTTCCATTTAAGAATGATGGAGGCCACTTTGTTCTTTGGGATCTTCAATGCAGCAGAATTTTTTTGGTACCCTTCCCCAGATCTGTGCTCGACACAATCCTGTCCCGGAGCTCTAGGGACAATTCCTTCAATTTCATGGCTTGGTTTTTGCTCTGACATGCACTGTCAACTGTGGGACCTTATATAGACAGGTGTGTGCCTTTCCAAATCATGTCCAATCAATTGAATTTACCAGAGGTGGACTCCAATCAAGTTGTAGAAACATCTCAAGGATGATCAATGGAAACAGGATGCTCCTGAACTCAATTTCGAGTCTCATAGCAAAGGGTCTAAATATTTATACATTTACTAAAATGTCTAAACCGGTTTTTGCTTTGTCTTTATGTGTCACGCCCTGACCTAGAGAACTCTTGTTGGTTGGGTCAGGGTGTGAGTTCAGTTAAGATCTATGTTATTGTATTTCTATGTTGGATTCTAGGATTTGTATTTCTATGTTTGGCCGGGTGTGATTCCCAATCAGAGGCAGCTGTCGCTCGTTGTCTCTGATTGGGGTTCATACTTAGGTAGCCTGATTGCCTACCTTAGTTGTGGGATCTTTTTTGTGTTCCTGTTAGGCTTGTTGTGTGTAGCCCATAGGACTTCACGTTGTCGTTGTTTTTGTTATTTTGTGAAGTGTTTACTCGTCTTAATAAATATGTACGCATATCACGCTGCACCTTGGTCTGACCCGTCTCTCAACAATCGTGACAGAAGATCCCACCAAACAAGGACCAAGCAGCGTGCCCAGAAGGAGCAAACGCCTGGGACTCAACAGGAGGTAACCTTAGTAGATGTCCTCCTCGGTTGGGGTAGAATTACTGAGGAGGAGGCAGTCTGTTATCGAGAGGCAATGAAGGAGAGTGTAGCCGATAAAGGAACCCGAATGAAGGAAGAAGCCCGGGTAGGAGAGGAGAAACGGCAACTTAAAAGGACTCGGTCACGAAGAAAGGTCGAGAAGCAGCCCCAATAAAACATTTTAGGGGGGCACACGGGGTGGACGACGAGGCAGCAGGAGGCCGTGAAAGGGCTGACTGTAGAGGAGGAGGCTGCTATTTTAGAGGTCCTCCAAGACCTGCGGATCGACAGTTTAAGAGAGGAGGCCACCACATTACGGGGGCTGATAGGGAGAATAGAGCAGGGGAGCTCCCTTAAAGAGGAGGCGCTGCAGGAGTCCCGTAGGAAGAAGGAAGTAGTGGAGGCACAGAGAGAGGAGCTGGTCAGGCAACAAAAGGAGCGTGTGTTCATTGAGGAACCTAGGTATGCGGAGATACGCACTGTGTCGCCAATGCGCAGTCACAGCCCAGTGCGTCTTGTGCCAGCGCTCTGCACGTGTCGTGCGAGAGTGGGCATCCAGCCAGGACGGGTTGTGCCGGCTCAACGCTCCTGGTCTCCAGTGCGCCTCCACGGTCCAGTATATCCTGCACCAGTGGTGCGTGTATCCAGTCCAGTACGGCCCGTACCTGCTCCCCGCACCAAACCAGTGGTGCGTGTCGCCAGCTCGGTACGCCCCGTACCTGCTCCCCGCACCAAACCAGTGGTGCGTGTCGCCAGCCCGGTACGCCCCGTACCTGCTCCCCGTACCAAACCAGTGGTGCATGTATCCAGTCCGGCACGGCCCGTGCCTGCTCCTCGCACCAGACCAGTGGTGCGTGTTCCCAGTCCAGCTCCAGTCAGCGGTTCCACTCTGGAGCCAGAGCAGTCCGCACCACCGGTGCCAAGTCCAGCTCCGGTCAGCGGCTCCACTCCGGAGCCAGAGTAGTCCGCTCCACTGGTGCCCAGTCCCGCTCCGGTCAGCGGTTCCACTCCGGAGCCAGAGCAGTCCGCTCCACCGGTGCCCAGTCCAGCTCCGGTCAGCGGCTGTCGCTCATTGTCTCTGATTGGGGATCATACTTAGGTAGCCTGATTGCCTACCTTAGTTGTTGGAGCTTGTTTGTGTTCCTGTTAGGCTTGTTGTGTGTATAGCCCATAGGACTTCACGTTGTCGTTGTTTTTGTTATTTTGTCAAATGTTTACTCATCTTAATAAATATGTACGCATATCACGCTGCACCTTGGTCTGACCTGTCTCTCAACGATCGTGACATTATGGGATATTGTGTGTAGATTGATAATTTGTATTTATTTAATCAATTTTAGAATAAGGCTGTAAAGTAACAAAATGTGGAAAAAGGGAAGGGGTCTGAATACTTTCTGAATGCACTGTACTTTATATATGGTTTTAGACGTTTTAAGCTGCAATATGTAACATTTTGGGCGACCTGACCAAATTCACATAGAAATGTCAGTTATCAAATTTTATTTGTCACATGCGCCAAATACAACAGGTGAAATGCTTACTTACAAGCCCTTAACCAACAATGCTGTTTGAAGCTGGTCTACAAAAGTAAAAGATGCAAAAAGAAAAATTAACGGGAAGCATATAAATAGTGCACATAGATCAGATCTACAGCTTCTTAGACTTGCTTTCAATGAGAATTATAGATCTATAACTCACATGTCTATGTGTGTTTGGTCAGGTCACCCAAAACATTACATATTGCAGCTTTTAAGTTTTTTTTTTTTTATCTTTTACATTCTGTTTTGTACACCAGCTGAACATACAATATTTTTTCTAATGGAAAATATAATTCACAGCGGTTTAGATGGTACAATGATTCTCTACACAATGACTGCTTGTTTTGTCACATAAACTGAAATTATTAGGCGAACTATTAGAATTTTAGCAACTAGGAAATGGCGGAGCGATTTCTTCATATTAAAACTTTTGAGATTTTTTTTTTTTTACTGTTTGCACCATAGACATTAAAACCAGTAGATAGTGATAGCGCTAGCGTCGTCCACGTATTCCTATTGAAAACTCCTGATGGAGCATGAAGCCGGAACTATTTGAATTTGAAGCACGCCAGGGCTTTTGGCACCGCTAGGTTGCTAAACAGTAGCCGACCAGCAGAGCTCGTGACTTCATGCCCCAGACCAGAAACTGGGGACCTTGTTTGGACATAGGCAGCCCGGAAAAACCTTCTATTCAGAAAAAACCCTGCTCCTGTGTAACTACAACTGGCAGTGAAACACCAAAGCAGGCTGATTTTTTTCCTGAACTTGAGCGGCTAGTTTGCATATGTTATCTGCATACCTGTAAGTGTGCGTTTGTTCGTTGTTCAACCACCTCAATGTCACACTATGACAGAATCACTCTTTGTGTCCCACTCAGTATTTGTTTGTTGTAAATATCTCTCCCTCCCTCCCAGGTGACTATGTGATTGTAGACCCTATAGAGGAGGGAGAGAAGGTGAGGGGAGAGATCAGCTTCATACTCTACAGAGACCACATTCAGCACCTGCAGAAACTCACTCTCTGGTGAGTGAACCTTGGAACCTTATCTCACCATGATGGCTAATACGTAGTTCAGTATATAGCTACACATATAGAAATACAATGCAGAAACACATTTAGCCAGTAAACTCAGTTTTAGTCAGCACTTCGATTACCTTGCCATAGTAACTGCAAGGCCACCACCACACCCGATAAACCTTTTTTTTGTACTGCTCTTATGAAGAAATCATTTCAAGTAATCCTAATCCCCACAGGATGTGCTAGGGATCTGTTTTTTCTGCCACACACACACACACACGTCACCTTTTTAAAAGAGAAGACAGTTAAACAAAGGTTCAATTATAACTGAATCAAGTGGGTTCTGCTGGCCCTTTAAAAAAAACATGTTTTATGTTTTTGTGTCTTCTGTCAGGCCTGAGGCCTTCACAGACGAGCCCCCATCGGAAGACAAAACAGATATACCACAGCCCAGGGAGGGGAGAAGGGAGGAGAAGATAGAGGAGGATGGTAGGAGTGATCACACTACTGACTCAGAGGATGACGAGAGCGATCTCTTCGTCAACACCAACCGCTGTAATGTCCACTACAGTGAGAGTGAGGAAGACAGTGAGAATGAGGAGAAGGATGAAGAGGGGGCCAAAGTGGAGAGCAGCTTTTAGTGGGGAAATCTTTACAAGAGACAATACACTGCTGTGGACAGATTTTGACACCAATGTCCCCCTCAGAATACACTGCTGCTGAAGAATATTTGGTGGATTATACTCTCCAGTCCCACCCCATGAATCCAATCAAACATAGAAAATCCTGCTGTTTTAAAATGTATTTGGGGGTTGAACTTAGCATCCCATGGACATAATATAGGTTAGGTATATCATTCTTATACCACCTGTCCTAGAGAGGAACATGAGCATGCTTTGCTAAGCTGTGCTAAAAACGAGGTTGATTGTGGAATTATTGAACTGGTCCATGGCATTCCTGACTGAAGACTGAAGAGGTTGTGTCATAATTTATGTAAATAATGATTGTGTAATAAAATCTTTATTGTGGTCTTTCATCAGAAAAACTTTTTTGACCGGTGTGTCTGATTCAAAATTAAATAATCAAAGATTGAAATTGTGTTTAATGTTCAGAGAAACATTGAAAAGTGCACATTTGTCAGAGGTTCATTTGCACATTTATTTACTCATTCACCTGTTTTAAATAACCAACCCTCAGATCTAAATCAGCAGTTATGCAGTGGCAGTGGTTAAATCAGTACAATTTATTTATACTTTTTTGTTGTTGTTGCACCTCATAAATCTGATTTAAGCCCTGAATATGTTTGCAAATAACTAGCCACTCAGCCCAGAAACTCAGTATGAGAATTCATGCCCACAGCATGGAACCAAAACCTGTTCCAACAGGAAGCAGTTGAGCAATGCATGTATGGACTTCACAGTGACATTCATCACAGACGGCTGTGTACCAAGTAGGTCATTCTGAGTATGAAACTGTATGCACTAACTCTAAGTCGCTCTGGATAAGAGCGTCTGCTAAATGACTTAAATGTATACTTAAATAAATACTTCAAAACAAACGTTTCTTCAACATCCAGTATTTCTCTCAAACGTAGGTCCACGTTTCTCACATTGTGGGGCCTTATTGCAGGGTCATTCTCAGCTGGTAGCATAACTTTCTCGACCACCATCTATCGTTTGAGGCAGTTTTAAAACAGCCAGTCTAGTACTTCTCAAATGTAGCCTCGGGTTTCTTACATCATTGGGTTTACATTTTAGTTATTTAGCAGACGTTCTTATCCAGAGCGACTTACAGTTAGTGCATACATTTTCATACTGGCCCCCCGTGGGAAATGAACCCACAACCGTGGCGTTGCAAGCGCCATGCTCTACCAACTGAGCTACAGGGGACCAGTAGGTTTACAGTAATAATTGGTACTGTTCACCATTGTCAAGTGGCGGCATACCTTCTCGATAGTCAATCACCATCATATGTCTGTTTTCTATATAATAGGAAAGCCAGTCTGAATGCCTCACTATGAGCGGAAGTTTACAGCCGTACCCTGTTGTTCTCCCAGAAGGCCCCATTCAAGTGGCAGCATACCTTCTCGACAGCCAATCAATCACCTTCAGTTTTATAACAACCAGTCAGTGGTTTCCTCAGTATGGAGTGGAAGTTTCCGGCATACCCATTTTACATTTACATTTTAGTCATTTAGCAGACGCTCTTATCCAGAGCGACTTACAGTTAGTGAGTGCATACATTTTCATACCCCAAGGGTCTTTCAGAAGGCCCTGCCTCTTCCCTATTTTCAAGTGGTAACATTCCTTCTCCATCACCATCCATCCTTTAGGTCAGTTTTATACCAGCCAGTCAGTGGTTGCCTCACTATAGAGCTGAATTTCTAGAACTACCCCATGGATTCGTCAGAAGTTCGTTGTCTTTTACACAACGGATCTATCAGAAGTGTTTTTCTCCTCCATTCTCAGGATGGTGTTGCTGCACTCTGTCTGGTTCCTCATGATCTCTGACCACAGCTTCATCACCTGAGCAGGGCTGCGTTTGTGTACCAGTAAGATAGTGTGGTACGCACAACGCTCTTCCCCCTCTTTCTCGGGGAAGTCGAAGGTGAGGAAGGCGGGGTGGTGGATGGGTTGGACCCCGAGCCTGTGGAGGCACATGCCCACGTAGACGTCATCAATGGGGTACAGGTGAATTCTCCGGGAGATACGGTTGAGCCGCAGGGCCAGCTCCCCTGAGTACACCACACCTCCCCCACCCCCGTACGGAGGGTACAGCCCCTTATAGAAACTTGCAGGAATAAAGTACTTGGTAAAGTTGACTCTGTTGGGGATGGCCGCTCCTATCACATCCCCTACCATGAATCCCTTCATACCCTCTGACCCGGGCCCCCCTGACTGGATCGTCTGCTCCCGGAGGTAGTCTAAGAGAGCGGGGGTCTGCACCAGGACGTCGTCATCCCCTTTAAAGATGAAGCGTGCCAGGGGGCAGTGGGCAGACAGCCAGTCCCACAGCAGCACGTCCTTCAGGGTGAGGTTAAAGAAGGAGTCGTGGAAGTCCCACTGGAGGATGTCACCGTAGTGGCGGCTCTCCAGCTGCAGCAGCTCACTGACGTTCACCCGGGGCTCTGCGTGGTTCTTCCCCAGGAGGAAGACCCTCCGCACCACCCCGCCTTTCCCCGTCGCCCCTGCCACCCACCCCGCCCAGCCCCATGTCTGCCGGATGGCCTGGCGGTTCTCAAAGTTCAGGCCCTGGGTCTTGATGGCCAGCAGTAGGAGAAGGCCCTGCCCCTTCCTTAGCCCACGCCCACACAGATTAGCAGGCTCAATGAGGACAGGGTAGTCCCTGAAGTGCATAGAGCGCACAAACATCTGCATCTGCAGGGGCAGCTCCTGGAAATCCTCCATTTGTGATGTCAAGTTCCCGATCTCAGAGAACCCTGCACTCAAGGTGGGGAGGGAAAACCGCAAATAGTTTGTATTATTATTATTATTATTATTATTATTATTACTGGTATCAATGTCATTGTGCTCTTTGCTGGATTTGGGCATCAGGATGGGGTTGTAATGGCGGTCAATGTGTAGCTGGAGCAGGTTCCAGAGGGCCCCTCCGTGGGGCTTGGGGTCCCAGAAGGAGCTGGTGGGGTGGGGGGCCAGGGAGCCATTTCTGGTAAGCCCTGATGCAATGAAGAACTCTGGTAGAGTTTGTGGGATAGGGGCAGCGCTGCCTGGGCCTGTGGTGGTGGTAGTACCATAACACACAGCCAGGGTGATGTACACACAGAGAGACCCCACCAGGACACAGGGAGCACAGCACAGGCACAGGAGCACCCGCCGCCACCGCCAACGGCATCGTGCCATTTAACTAGAGGAGATAAGGAAAGGGCGAGAGGTGGCTAGATACATTTGGGGAAGAAATGGGTAAGAGTTGTGAGGAGAGAGAGGGAGGAATGATATGGGGAGTGAGAGAGGACATGAGGGAAGAGGTGGATGATTTTATTATTGCAATCTTTTGTCACTTAAGTCAGTACAGCTGTATGACTAAGAATAATTACTTCTGATTTTAAGTCATTTAGTATGATTTTAAGTATGTAACAAACATGAAAAGTGTGATGTGTAGGCCTATTGAAATATAAAATGGAAAACAAAGCAACAGTAAACATGTCATCCCCCACGAATGATGCAGCTGATTGCATTTAGGAATTTTGCGCAGTGACTGGGCTTGTTAGAACACATTTCTTTCTGAGCAGCAATCAGCTGTATGAGGAGTTGTGTGCTCTTGATTTGCATCTTTTATTTTTTTTTACTTGCCACAGTTGATATTCAGCTGATAAATAAACCAAATAGCTCATGAACAGCTTTGGGAATTAATCTATTTTTTAAACAACTATATAGCATAGGCCTTGACTACAAAATAGAATTATTACTATATTAATTTAGTATTTAACCAACAAGTGATTTGTGTAAATAATGTTCATGTCTTGACAAGCAAGCAGATCTACAGTGTAGGTCTACGTAAACCTTTCTTTGCTAATAATGACATCACTGTGTCGGATATGAAAAAAGACTGAAAAGCAGGTGGAGGACCTTTGGAATGCGCGTGCTGATGTTCAACTCTGGATTGATTAGCTTCTGATTAGACGGATCTGGTGCGAGTATCCAGGATGTAGCCTACTGACGCGGGGCTCACTCAAGAGAGGCAGAGGGAAGGTTTTTATGTTTGCTTAGAAACCGAATGCTGGTACGATAAACGTCAGACGTCGGGAATCTATTTTTGTTTTTTGTTTTGGGCTCACACATTTCAGTTAATTACAATAGCTCCCGCCTTGGGCCAATTAGTACAATTTTGAGTTTGGACAACGTTCAACGCATACATTCAGTTGTTCCAAACTCACTTCACTTGCCCTAAAGAGTGAGGCTCGCACATGCGCAGATCAAATACACAGCTGGAACGCCGATTATGGCGTGTACTTCCTAATAATTCGAAAGATTGCTCAGAAAACCAGGTGTTTTAATCGGCATATGTTTACTTCGATTAAAACATAGTAAAGTGATTACATGACTACTGCATAATCCGCCTACTGCCATAATCAGTTTAATATCCAATTATCAGTGTGCACGTAAACATACTGAATTATTTGTAAATTACACCATAACCTACCTTGATTTTTTTATTTTGAAACGAACGTTTTCCCATATGGCTATAAACGTTCCTTTTCATATCCCCAACGTATCCATCGCGTGTGCCAATTGATATAAAAACAATATAAAACAATGACAGGATATTTTCTTTGGTCTTCTCAGACGATCCTTATACCAAATGGTCCCCTGAAGTGGCAGCCACCTTCACAAACTTTTGTGAGACAGCATGGCGGTAGAGCAAGAACTTACCTACGAAGCAAAACCAGTTGCAATTATTCACATTTACATAAAGAGCACTCCCTCTGTTGGTGGAACCATAAGGAGAGGAAGTACAAACCAACGACGCTAGACAGAGAGGAATATGCTTAAGCAAAAGGCAGTTTATTAAACAACAGAGATAGCTGGTACTGCTCAAGCTACATGCATGGACCCATTTCAGTTGCCTCTTATGGAGACAGTTGAAAAGGGATCAAAAACAGAGTTTTCAGCATTACTTTATACAATGCAACACAAAGGAAGGGGTCCTTCTTCTAGTCCCTTGATTGGTTCCCGAGGCGTAGGAGGCGGGTCTGCTCTGTCCAGAGTAGAAGCCCCTTTGGTGCACGGCAGAGTCCTCTGCCCTTGGCACCCGACCAGTAGAAAGAAGTGCAGTTTGTGTGTGTGCGTAACTCGTGAGGCATGAGGATGAGTGTGCGTATGCATGGAGATGTGTGTGTGAATGTGTGTATGTTCTCAAAGGAAAGACTCGTGGGGAGCAACCAGATTGTGGCCTGTGGCGTGGGTGTTGTCCTTGAGAAGATATTGGCTCTGTCCATTGTTCTTGCATAGGAACAGCATTGATTGAAAACAAGCTCCTAACATTAAAATGGGTCATATTTACTACGACACCTCTCAACTAGTCAGAAATTAGAACCTGATCGTTGATCAGTTTCAAACAGTCAGCGTCAATACGTTTGTTACTGTTGTTTATTTAGTTTAAAGTCCCACTCCATTTTTAAGCTTTTCCAGTTGAAAAACGATATTCCAAGTATAAATACACTTATGGGTAAAAAGCTATGTTTTGAGCAAAACAGTGTTTTTTTTTTTTTGACACAATGGAGAAATTCAAGGGTTTTGCAATTCAAGGAGTTGGTCTGATGGTGCACTCTGATGTCATCCTTGCAGGAACATAGAGGAGAAATTGAGGACAAAAGAGGAAAGGCCCAAGCCCCCACTTGTGCCATGTCAGAGGACACCTGGACCACCCAATGAGATGTGATAAATTAGGTTCTAGGGAGGCTGGAGTGGATCTTTAAACAAATAAACGAAACCAAACCTACAAAAACTGACAGAAATTACAAAATAAATCTTCCAGAGATAACAGTAATAATAATATTATTACTATTTTAGAGGAAATTATAGTCTGAATAGGCAATGTTCAATTAGGTTTCACTCACTGGCATGGCCACCTGAAGATGTTTTGGGGTGGGGTTGCTGCTGAGGATTTTTTTGTCCTGCTCTGCTGACTAGGATTTTTCTCTGCTCATACAGGAGTAATAAAGGCCTAGTGCACTCATTTGGTGGATTAAAAAAATATATGTTTTAATATTAATAATAATAAAATAATAACATTAATTTAACAAAAAACTATTGATTTATCAGGGGGTGATGCAGCACCCTCAGAACCGCTACTTCCCGCGGCTATGCTCACTGGCCACAATATAACTAAATATACAGTTAATATCAGTTAAAAAGGCCATTTTTAGTTGTTAAAGAAAGGTGTGACCAGGTTGATTTTTTAGAGGTTTGGCTAATAATACATGGAATTTCACATAAAGAGCCAACAAGCTGACTGTCTATTTTCTCCTGCAAACCACACACTTTGAACTGGGTAATACTTCAACTGTAGCCCACCCCAGACAAACACCAAGCTGGAAGAGAATGCTATAAAAAAAAATAAAAAAAATATTTGCCCAATATCAACTTGATCTAACACAGATCAATGGTTTGTTATCAGCATTGTAACAGTGCTTTATCTGTAAAACACCTGTACTGTACATAGGGGATATTCCCAGTCATTGCTTTTTAACAGTCTCTGAATGTGGAGGGTTTCAATGCATGTCAGGTAGAACTGGAGTTACGAGACAGACAGAGCAAACAGCAGCTCAACTGCACGCCCAACTCATTGCAATGGATGGAATGTTAAGCCCTATGTCAAAGTGTGTGTTGCAATAACATTAGCAGAAACCACCTTGACTGAGACATTGGTAACGTTTCTTCCCCAGCAGAAACCAAGATGATATGTATTCACTTACAGTCCATTTGCTCTGAGAGATGAGTCCTCTCTGCGTCTCAGGAATGAGGTGTGTACCGTACATCTGTATTCAGTGTAAACAGAGTTAGTGGATCTTGATCAACAAGAAGATAAGACATCTGATGATTTCATCACGTGTGTCTACATTGACATTTACATGTTAGTCATTTAGCAGACTCTTATCCAGATCGACTTACAGTTAGTGCATTCATCTTAAGATAGCTAGGTGATACAACCACATATCACAGTCATAGTGATTGTGTGTGTGTGTGCGCGCACATGCATGCATGCGTGTGTGAGTATGTGTACAATACTGGGGCATTTTGACAGAGAACATCACCTCTCTCTCTGAGGCAGTTCAACCTGACTGAGAGGTGTGTCTGAGTTTGGGCGTGAGGGCGTGTACAATACTGGGGCATTTTGACAGAGAACATCACCTCTCTCTCTGAGGAAGTTCAACCTGACTGAGAGGTGTGTCTGAGTTTGGGCGTGAGGGCGTGTACAGTACTGGGGCATTTTGACAGAGAACATCACCTCTCTCTCTGAGGCAGTTCAAACTGACTGAGAGGTGTGTGTGAGTTTGGGTGTGAGATCACCACCATATTACCTCCTAATTATGCCCTTTATTTATCTATTTGATGCTTCCATAAAATCAGTGGTGTAAAGTACTTAAGTAAAAATACTTTAAAGTACTACTTAAGTGATTTTTTGGGGTATCTGTACTTTACTTTGCTATTTATATTGTTGACAACTTTTACTTTTACTTCACTACATTCCTAAAGAAAATAATGTACTTTTTACTCTATACATTTTCCCTGACACCCAAAAGTACTCGTTACATTTTGAATGCTTAGCAGGACAAGACAATAGTCCAATTCACGCACTTATCAAGAGAACATCCCTGGTCATCCCTACTGCCTCTGATCTGGCAGACTCACTAAACACGCATGCTTCATTTGTGAATTACGTCTGAGTGTTGGAGTGTGCCCCTGGCTATCCATAAATAAAAAATAAAAAACAGTGCTATCTGGTTTGCCTAATATAAGCAATTTGAAATGATTTATACTTTTACTTCTGATACTTAAGTATATTTTTGCAATTACATTTACTTTTGATACTTAAGTATATTTTAAACCAAATACTTTTAGACTTTTAGTCAAGTAGTATTTTACGGGTGACTTTCACTTTTACTTTAGTAATTTTCTATTAAGGTATCTTTACTTTTACTCAAGTATGACAATTGGGTACTTATTCCACCACTGCATCAAATAAAGATCACCATCTAAGTGATGGAGCTTAGCCCAGTCGAATGGCAGATCAGATTAATCATGTCAACAATATGCCAGGCAATAAAAATCATACCTATCCGTAATCAGAGAATAACCACACTAAGGAAGGAAATCATTTTGTCGGAAGAACCTGTTTGATCTGTAAAATGTAAACTGGTTAAGTATGAAGATACAATATACTTTGCTGGGGTAGAAAGTATGAGTCTAAAAAGGAAGAGATAAGACAGGAAAATATTGCCACCAAGTGGCTAGAAGTTTTCAAAGTCTATTTTGCTGGTTTTACCATTACCTTTCACACAGATGAATGAGATCAGTATAAGGCAGAATAATTATTATCGGTTTGATAGACAGTCATCAATTGGCAGGTAAAAACAGCTTCTAACTTAAGCTTGAGAATCACCCCTATACCTTGAGGGTCATGAAGGAGGAGGCCTCTTCTTTGTGACAGAGAATGACAACACTTTCAAAATGGTAGGAATAAAGATTTATTTTCATATGAAGAGGTGGTTTGGATTTTTCTTTTTTACAAGTATGTTTTGATAAAACTTGCAAAAAACTTCTAGCATATTCCAAGAATGGAGACATGAGAAAAGGGGATTTATTGCTGAATGTTAAAATGAAGACACTTTTCACTGAGTGGAAAACGATTTGCTTGCTGCTTTTTCCATGCACCCAACTACCTGGACCACTAGGACATGCAGGGGGGCGTGGGGAGAGGAGAGGGGGAGGGGGCGTAAAGGAGATGAGGACAACTGCTGGAAAAACACAAACATTGTGTGTGTGTATGTGCCGTGTTGAAGGGTGTGTGCGAATGTGTGTGTGTGTGTGTGTGTGAGAAAGAGATAGTAAATGTGGAAGGTAGGAAGGATTGGTTGCAAGGGAAGGAGGTAAAGGGGATTTTACATTTCAACTACCTCTAGAAGCACATTACCCTCACTGGCAGTATCCCACATTGCAAATCCCAGATTGAATACAGTGATACTTAGACAAACTAGCCAGAACATTGGGCCATGAAAATATGTATATCTCTAAATGATATTCCACAATAATCCTCTGAATTCATCAAAGGAGTTGGTTATCATTTTTTATAAGGTACTTATTATTACATTTTGTTTGCGATACATGCATCTCCTGTGAGACTCCACTGGTAAAGGGGCACATTTAAATATTCATTTAAAACCAACTCATGGGGACTCATGTATTTGACACAATGCCCTTTTTCTTTTAGGTAGAGGAGCCTGACGCTCTCTGTCCATTTAATCTCATAGTATTTCTGAGGTGGATCCTTTCTGAGGAATGCCTGTAACCCATAGTGGAGTGGACAAGCTGTTGTCATGTGTAAGTCTAACAAATCCCATGATAATAGGTTATGTTATACTCTATGATGTCATTGTCAAGATGGCGGGGTCGGACAGAGACAGACATATATCAGATCATTCAGTCAATATGACCAAGCAAGGTATACGTATGTTAATAATAAAGGTATAGGAATGCAAAAAAGGATGCAATAATCGATAATACCATACCATCTGTTGGCTATGATTAAAAAGGACAAACCGAACAGACACAAACATACTGCAGTCAGTCAGTCAACATAGGAGAGACTTTGCAAAAATTAACCTGTGTCACTTGTCACAGCACACAGCAAACCAGTGCCATTATCACTACGAGCCAATGCCATCATCATCATCATCATCATCATCATCATCATCATCATCATCATCATCATCATCATCATCATCATCATCATCATCATCTTCTTCACCATCTTCATCATCTTCATCATCTTCATCTTCATCGTCATCATCATCTTCATCGTCAAACAAACCTGTGTCATTACACTGTCATAGAACAATCATCCAAGAGCCTCAACATGAACTACATATCAGCATATTTTGGCATTTTTAAAACCCACTTTTCTTTTTCAAGTTTCAAGAGTTTTCAAAGCTCCATACTATATCACAGATGAAACAGACAAGGAAGAGGGACATAATGGATCTGGCCTATGGACCATGGTGGCTCTTGGGAAATGGAGTCTTTTTCTTGATGGGATGTGAAAGTCCTGAGACACAGTGCGGCTTTAGTTAAGCTGCTGGCATAGGAATGGGGGAGGGCAGTCCATGTAGGCCAGAATCAGGCTGGATTGACTGGATTGGTTGGATTGGCAGCTCCCTGGCAAATGAATGCTCATGGAAGGAGGTTTTAGAGTGCAATGGAGCTTCTGGCAGCATGAGGATTGGCCGGTTGAGTATGTCAGTTTAACAGTGACCACACCCTCATAGCTGAATGGACACTCTGGTCTCACTAGACTACAACTCATCACGGAGCGCGCACGCACGCACACACGCACACACGCACACACGCACACACGCACACACGCACACACGCACACACGCACACACACACACACACACACACACACACACACACACACACACACACACACACACACACACACACACACACACCACAACCGTCACCTACACTCGCTCCCATTTAGAAACCCTGAACACCTGTGCAGGTACCTTGGATAATCTTCATTCCTCTGAATCAATACACATACGATGACAGGGGGCGGATGATGACATGAATGACTGATGTGAATTTGTTGGAGCGACTCATCAAAAACTAGCGCATCACTTCCTGTACCAGGACAGGACACCACATCCAGTTGCGTCTGTGATAAATGTCGCCTGTGAATAAACAACTGCGTGTGGATCATACTCATGGAAACATACACCGTTACACAGGAGTGATTCATATTGCATGATGACAGAATCATATCACAGTTCAAACAAGGAGATCCTAAATCAGAGAAAATAAAGTAAAAGTAAAGAGGTCTATAAAAATGAGGAGTCTGTATTAGAAAGGCTACAAAAACTCAACTGGACCTCCGGCTTCAGCACACAGCAAAAGGCACCACAATATTATTCTATTATCTAACTCGTGAAAAAATTGGCAAGTAATCATTTTTTTTCTCTCATAACGCTGTAAATCAAAAACTTTACATATAAATATTTTTCCCCTATAAAAAAAGTCTTTGCTGTTAGCTAGTAGACAATTTTTGCTGAAATGAAAATAAATATTTCATTTGTTTAGAATATCTGTCTGTTATACAAAATAAAAATATTTATCCTAGGTGCAGGTATCTACTCCACTGTTGTCTTTAGGTGGGTCAGGGGGGTCGGGGTCAGGGGTCAGAGATCAGGGGTCAAGGCGGGCGGGTGGGTCTTAAAGGGGTGCGTTGTCATGTTTGGAGGAGCGCGACTGGGAGCTTTTACTGTGTCCGTTGCTGCGGGTGCTTGGCCGCCCCTGCGCCCGGTGAGTCCGTATGTCGGCGGTGGGGGCAGGGGCAGTAGATGATCGGTACCCACGCTCGCATGGCTCCATGTTCATGTTCTGCATACTGAGGAAAGGCGTGCTCTCCCCGTGCCCCTCCTCTTCCTCCTCCTCCTCCTCTGATTGGCTGAAGCTCTGAGAGCTGTAGTCCCGTAGGCCCATTGCACGCTGGGAGACATGTCCATTGAGGCGGTTCCGACGCGGGCGCCGGCGGCTCTTGATTGGCTCACGGGAGGAGGCGTACTCCTGCGTGGTCTCGTAGGCCTCGTCGTCAGGGAGATGGTATGGGCTGGATGGAAGGCTGCCCGTGCTCTCTGTCAGGTAGGGTTGGCGCGGGCGACGGGGCTGCCGGTACAACCGTCCATCCTGCAGGGACAGAAACAGAGAACGTCACACACGAGACACTCTAGTCTACAACAAACAACATCATACACTACGGCTCTATCCTTTTAGTGGGCCACCCTCTTGACGGTGGAGAGAAATGTTTTTGTTTTAAAGTGAATTTCCTGCAATTCTACCCATTTTGCCAAAGGGTGGAGATAATTTATTTCAGTTTTAAAGGAAATTTCCTGCAATTCCAGACATTTTGCCATGCTATACCATGTTAATGATATCTGAGTGACTGCCCTGCGTGCCTGATCTGTATTCTGCCATGATTAGATAGCTGGCTAGACTAACTTACCAATCAAAAGATTGTTAGCTGAGTGTCTGGCAGTGACTTACAACAAGAGAACAATTGCTGATGCACAACCAAATTTCAAACTTGCACCTTGTGTATTCTACTATTTTAACTCTCAACTGTAAGTTGAGACCCTGACTGAGTGTTTTTATTTTGGGGGCCGCCTAGCGCCATGGGGCCCTAAGGGACTGCTTATTTCGCTAATGTCTGGAGCCGGCCCTGTCCACAACTAACAACATCTTACACTACCTACTCTAGTCTACAACTAACAACATCTTACACTACCTACTCTAGTCTACAACTAACAACATCTTACACTACCTACTCCAGTGATTACCTGGGGGCATCTCAGCAAGGGCTGGTCGTCCTCCCGGTGGTAGGCTGCGGCGGCGGGCGACAGGGCGAGGGCGTGGCCCGTGTTGGGGGATGTGATTTGGAAGGTGGGTACTTGGGGGGGCAGTGGGGGGTAGTGGAACTCAACGGGTGACAGACGGGCTGGCGTGGTCAACGCTGACACATACCTGTGGGGAGGGGGAAATGGAGACACACAAACTGTCTTAAATCTGGTTCAGAGGCCCAGATCTGAGACAGTAGACAAGTACTAATTTTGTGGTTGTTTACAATTACAAATCGTGGGCGAACATTCACACTAGTCGTCCCACCTGTCACTATGAGGTGAGTCTCTCAGAGAGTCGTAGGAGTCTCCATACTGCAGGCTGGCTCCCTCAGAACAGCCCCAGTAGGTGGCCCTCCGTGCCCGTGCCTCCATGCAGGTCGGGCTGCTGCATTTACTGGTGCCCACAGACGAGGAGAGCGCCCCCGACTGGCAGTCTGAGTTCATACTGTCTGTCCTCTCTATACTCCAGGTCCGCTCCTCGTGTCTACAGGGAGAGAGAGACGGAAGGAAGTAACGAGAGGGCTTTGTGACATTTCTGATTCGCAGAAATGCCCTGACGTGTGTGTGCTTGTGTGTGTGTGTGTGTCTGTGTCTGTGTGTGTGTGTGTGTGTGTCTATGTTTCTGTGTGTTACTTCAGCACCTGGAGTTGTGGGAGACTGTAGATGAGTGGTGGGATCTGGTGGATATTCGGCTTGCTGCGTAGTTTACGGCTTCTTCTGGTCCATGCTGTATTACACTACATTCTGTGGTAGGAGCGTTCTTTGAGATGTACTGTGAAAGGAAGAGAGAGATATGTATTGTGGGAGCTGTATAGGCATGGGCGATATGGCAATCTGTCTCTCTATCCCAAGGCTTGCAGACAGTCCTGACTCTAGACATACTGTATGCTGTGTCAGCAGGCTTCAGGCCAAACTGGAATAAGGACGTGTTATAACACCCGTTACAATCAAAACAAATCTGTTTCTGAGCCTGAGGTATCTTGTAGGCCCTGTACACACTCAGTTTGTACAACTGGTGTACAATGCATTTGACAAAGAAATGGTGATCCAAAGGAAGGTTTGTCTGCGCAAAATTCTTTACACAGCGGTTGTCGAGACACCGGACAATGGTTGTGTACATTTCTTTGTGTAGACAAACTCTCTGTAGTATAACAGAAATAACCGTTGTATCACAACCGTTGTGTCAAATGCGTTGTACATCAGTTGTACAACCTGAGTGTGTACGGGGCCGTAGTGACTCACGTCCACCATGGGGATCTCCTCAGGGCCTGGCCCGGGGTGGTTGGGTCCGTTAGCCAGCATGCGGTTGGGCTGCTCCACACACTGGTTCTGGTTCACGTTCTGGTTCAGGTGGCCATGTATCTTCTTCCTCTGTTTCCTGTAGGACATACGCAAGAAAAAGTGTAATGTGTTATTGTTATAGAATACATTGAGAAAGATAGTAGATAAGAATAGAAAAAGTTGATAGGAAAATGTATATAAATACAAACTACAGTTCGACAGGAATGCAGTAATTTTACAAATTCTGTTCTGTCTGTCATCGAAATATCCGGCTTCAAACATTAAGACGTTTATTTTTTTAAATAATTAGTTAGTAAAGCTCATCTAAGAAGTTTGAAAGCTTAATTTCCGACTGTGACATTATAGCTGTGATCATTGGCAGTCAGTGAATGCCTCCTGGGCTCTGTGAAGAACTGGTTGAAATGATGTCACAATGACGTCATTTCAACCAGTTCTGCCCGGCTGGGTGGGCTCTGTACAGTACCAGTACGTACTTGGTTTTGCAGTATGCCACCACACACACCATGCCCACTACCAAAAGTGCCACACAGATGCCTGTGATGGTCAACACCCGCCGCTGGTACAGCTCCTCTGCCTCTGTGAACAAACCACACACACACACACACACAACACACACATACGGACACACAACACACACATACGGACACACACACACATACACATACGTGTGAGCGCTACTCTACTGGAATAATCAAACAAAAGCTAACTCAGCACCTCCTCTTTCCCTTCATACTCTGACATCCCTGACCTCTGACCTCTAACCTCCCTGAAAGTAACCAATCGTCTTTCTCCTCCACCAGTGCTAACCTTAGACAAATCAAAAACTAACCATGATGGTACCAACCCTGTAGATTAACAGTGGCTTAGCCACAACATAGACTGTTTCAGTTAGGGGGTGCTTATATTTGTCCTGTTTCACACATGTACAAGTGTGTAACAGTTCAACAGTTCAACTATAGTAGACTCTTTTTTTTAAACTGGCAATACTAGCTTCTGTAGGCTTACTGTATGTCAAGTTCAAACAATCTCTCAGAAACTAGGCCTCATCCTACATAGACCTATATGTTGCAATGTGTGGTTGGTCTGGATTCCCTCTCTGCTTTCCCTACGTGCACAAATGTACCACAATGTCTATGGAATGTATGTCAAAGAGGTCTAAGGACACATGCCTGTATGATGGAATCAGATGATTATCATAAGAGAAAAAGCATTTTAGAGCAAAAACACCACAATGGTTTGGGGATATTCATAAAACTCACCGGCAACTAAATAAACACCTTTAAATTGATCAGAGAACGCATGGATATAGAACTCACAGATAACTCACAGTCCCCATACGTTAACGAGGGAAATATACTGTAGCTTTTGCATGAGAGTTATCATTATTTTGCAAGGTTTAATGTGATTTTCTGATCTTTCTTGTCGGTTACAAAGTGTAGCTAGTGTGAATCTCTGTTGTCATGGTGAAGCTTTATGAATACCTCCCTGTCAGGTGTTCTGATGGCATTTAAATGACCAATGAGCAGAAGGCTCGTTGTGGCGGAACATTGTCAGCAGATAAGTCACAATGACAGAGGAAAACAAACAGAACATGGGGAGAGGGGGAACGAAAGAAAGAAAGAAAGAGTGGACAAAGGAAGATGAAAGTAGGAGACGGCCAGACAGTGGAGGAAGAGGGGCTGGGAAGGTGTGGGGAGGGGGGGATGTTTAAAATGGGGTGGTGATGGGGTTTTTAGTGCTAAAGGTAGGGGAAATGGGGGTGCTGTCTAGAGAGCCTTAGCCTGGCATTGTATGTGTGTCACAGGAGAGGGGACTGATAGGGAATAGGATTGGTGGTTAACATCTACTGAAGGAGCTAGGTCACTATTGCTTGCAGGAGCATCTGATTCAATGCCAATCAACTGGGTCATGGTAGACCTACCACAGCTGGCTGTCTTATGAGACACTGGCTATTTTCTCAGGTGTGGTGTTACTGATAACCATCAGCAAATTTCTGTCAAGTTTGTCTCTCTGACTCAAAAGTACACATTTTAAAATTAATTTTGCCTCACTCAGGTAAATGTATTGTGCCTGCGTTGTAATATCGTCTACTTATATCTTCCTCTCGATCATCAACATTTATTTGGCTTTGCTCTCTCCCTCTATACAGTAACATAATGGAGTGTACTAAAAAGCATCGTTTCTAGGTTTTCTATAATTGAGAGAGGGGGCTAACATGCATGCAGCGGGACAAGTGTCTTTGGACCTGGTAGGTTAGCGGGCGAGTGACAGATCGACAGATCAGAGAAGAGTTATTGGTTCTAGAGAGATGGTAGTAGTGATGTGTGACTGTGAGAGGATCTTGGCAACTCTTAAAATTAATAATATACATTCAAATGAATAATTGTTCCATACCCATAAATTCAATTCCAAGATGCTCTGCCAACGCAGAAAGTTGGACACAATGAAAAGGAAAGAGAACAAGTTTCAGATAGTGATCGTCTACATTGGAACATAGATATATAGATAGTAGATACTGAACCATGAGGTTAGTACGGAATCTTTCGGTGACATAATAATCGTGACTGGCAGGTGTCACGTCCAGTAACAGACAGACAACGCAGACAGCCGCAGCTCTGTGACCCCAGAAAGGAAAGAAAGGAAAGAAACAGAACTGATAAAAGAGAGAGGGAATCAGGCAGGAGACATGCAGAGACAGAGACAGCCACTTCACTTACTGCCATATTTACTAGACCTCATTTCTGGGGTAAACGATTTTTTGTGTGTGGATAAAATCACAAAAAAAAGACAAAAAAAAAAGCAGTGTGTTACTTTCCAACGTAAAAACACAGTATTGTAGATGTTGGTTGGCACAAAAATGGGAACAGCTTTGTAGGTCGACAGATTAATGAGAAGTTCTAATTGTGTCTCTCATTGTTTGTGTTATATGACTAGCTCTAGTCTCTGACACCTTTCATCTGAAATTATTCGGATAAAATATGACAAAGGTATTTTCTATCTCAGCACAGCGTGAGCAATAGCACTAGAAAAATGTGTGTTTCTTAACTTGGTATGATGTGACTCATGCCATCAATGATAGCAGAAAGACTGTTTTTTAACCATATTATGTATGTATATATAGATATATACAATACTGTATGTATAGGTAACTGCCAAAATAATGGAAACACTTGAGTAAATGAGGGATACAAAGTATATTGAAAGCAGGTGCTTCCACACAGCTGTGGTTCCTGAGTTAATAAAGCAATTAACATCCCATCATGCTTAGGGTCATGTATAAAAATGCTGGGCAGGCCATTATTTTGGCTACCATGGCTATGCCCCCATAGGATGACAATGCCCCCATCCACAGGGCATGAGTGGTCACTGAATGGTTTGATGAGCATGAAAACAATGTAAACCATATGCCATGGCCATCTCAGTCACCAGATCTCAACCCAATTGAACACTTATGGGAGATTCTGGAGCGGCGCCTGAGCCAATGTTTTCCACCACCATCAACAAAACACAAAATTATGGAATGTTCTCGTTCAAGAATGGTGTCGCATCCCTCTAATAGAGTTCCAGACAATTGTAGAATATATGCCAAGGTGTTCTGGCTCGTGGTGGCCCAACGCCCCATTAAGACACTTTATGTTGGTGTTTCCTTTATTTTGGCAGTTACCTGTATATTCATATTGTGCTCCAAGTCCCCATTAGCTGTTCTCTAGGCTTAAACCAACAATGACAAACCCGTTCAAAGTGCTCTACTCCTCTGTGTGGCCTAACATTGGCAAAGAAACACTCTCATAGTTATCTGAGCATGGTAAACAGGACATTGATGGGGCAAACAAACCAAACATTTTAATGATTTGAATATAAGAACTGGCTTAGGATGAGCTCTCTGGATGAAACATTATGACAATGGGTTATCAGTTGCCCATTTGCAGCAAAACTACTGGCTACTTCACCAACATCTAGTCAGAACATCACAGATAACTACCGATCTTTGTATCAAGCATTGCATCAAGCCATCCAAGCTGCATATCAGGTGCACCCTGTATATTACATTCACTGTATCATCATCCAGTCTCTACTGCAGCATACTGTGTAGCACATGATCAGGAGGGCATGCACAGGGACCTATGTGTTAACTCTGCTGTCTGTTTCTCTGCATGCACCTCTGTCCGTTATTGAGGGGTCTACTGGTTAACTCCCTCTGTGTAAAGGACCAGCTCCAGGGACAGCACATAGTGCAGCAGAGGGAGGTGAGAGGAATGGCAACAGGAAAGGGATAGACACAAAGGCATGCACATACACACTCACACACATTTACATTTTATTCATTTAGCAGACGCTCTTATCCAGAGCGACTTACAGTTAGTGCGTGCATACATATATATATATATATTTTTCATACTGGCCCCCCGTGGGAATCGAACCCACAACCCTGGCGTTGCAAGCGCCATGCTCTACCAACTGAGCTACACGGGGCCCATAAACACACATACAGATATACACACACACACACACACACACACACACACACACACACACACACACACACACACACACACACACACACACACACACACACACACACACACACACACACACACACACACAATCTCTCTCTCTCACACACACACACACACACACACACACACACACACACACACACACACACACACACACACACACACACACACACACACACACACACACACACACACACACACAGGTAGGTATCGCCCTCCAGAGCATGCAGCAGCGTCCCAATGAGGAAGACAGATAGACAGACATACAGACAGACAGACAGACAGGAGGAAATGAACATACTGTAGAAACCTGCCATGACGGATTTTTGACAGCGATCACCTGTATAGTCATTTTGACACCTGATGGTGGAAACACCACAGAAGGGAGGAGGAGTGAAAAGAGGATAGGAGGTGGAAAAGAATAAAATGAATAGGAGTAAGTAACGGAGGGAAAGTACAACAATGAGATGGAGGGAGGAATGAGATATTTGGATGAGGAGCGAGAGAGAGTATATGCTATGATAGTGCGAGAAGATTCGTCGGCAATAGAGCGTAAGAGATAGCTCGATACGTCTATTCTAGATCAGTCGACTTCTGCATCATATATCTCTGGGTACTCTATCTCGCATCGCTCTCGTTTCTCTCTCTCGCTATCTCTCTATCTTCTCCCATATGAAATCCACTCTTCGCTCTCTCCTCTCTTTCCTGTCTCTCTTCTACTCCCCTCTCTCTGATCCTCCTCCCTCTCTCTCTATCTATCCATATGATCCTTTCGTCTTTCTCTCTCGCTCTCTCTTCTCCTTATCTTTCATAATCCTCGTTTCATAGTGGAGCTTTCTCTCTCTCTCTCTCTCTCTCCTCTCCCCCTCTCTCTGCTCTCCTTCTCTCTCTCTCCTCTTCTCGCTGCTCTCTTCCTCTCTCTTCTCTCTCTCTTCTCTCTCGCGTCCCTTCTTCTCGAGAGAGGTGAGGGACACAAGAGAGCAGAGAACATGGAGTTAGAAACAGATCACAGCCTAATAGTATTTGTCAGAGGTAGAGGGTAGAGTGTTATGACATTGC